AAATCTAGGGTTGCTACTCAAGCCGTCTGGATGTTCGTTCTATCGTTTCGGTTGCTAGAGACGCGACCCAGTCATTCAGTCTTTTTGTTCTGTATCTATGGACATTCGTTCTAAATGTTCCATTGCCATACGGGCTGGTAACGTTCTTATCTCTTGCTTGCTACAGTAGCTAGACAACTACGGCTAACTTACAGTCATGTCAAAAAGTGCAGCCAGAATAACAGCAAAGTAGCTGCATTTGCATTTGTTTAAGCTGTTTTCTAGAGACATTTATTTGGATACATACATAACAATGAGCAAATGAGGCGCAATTCCGTCTAGCATAGAAAATGTGCTCACTCGTCAGGACACTGTTGTTCAGAGGAGCTAGCCAACAACAATGTAAATGTAAATGTAATGTAAAATGTAACACAGCTAACACAATCACTTCAAAGCTGGAAAGACGGCAAACTAGCTGCACTTCGTTTTGTTTGACCTTTTTGCAATTGACATTTCTTTGTACAATGGGGAGAACAAGTATTTGATACACTGCCGATTTTGCAGGTTTTCCTACTTACAAAGCATGTAGAGGTCTGTAATTTTTATCATAGGTACACTTCAACTGTGAGAGACAGAATCTAAAAAAATCCAGAAAATCACATTGTATGGTTTTTATGTAATTAATTTTCATTTTATTGCATGACATAAGTATTTGATCACCTACCAACCAGTAAGAATTCCGGCTCTCATAGACCTGTTCGTTTTTCTTTAAGAAGCCCTCCTGTTCTCCACTCATTACCTGTATTAACTGCACCTGTTTGAACTCGTTACCTGTATAAAAGACACCTGTCCACACACTCAATCAAACAGACTCCAACCTCTCCACAATGACCAGAGAGCTGTGTAAGGACATCAGGGATAAAATTGTAGACCTGCACAAGGCTGGGATGGGCTACAGGACAATAGGCAAGCAGCTTGGTGAGAAGGCAACAACTGTTGGCGCAATTATTAGAAAATGGAAGAAGTTCAAGATGACGGTCAATCACCCTCGGTCTGGGGCTCCATGCAAGATCTCACCTCGTGAGGCATCAATGATCATGAGGAAGGTGAGGGATCAGCCCAGAACTACACGGCAGGACCTGGTCAATGACCTGAAGAGAACTGGGACCACAGTCTCAAAGAAAACCATTAGTAACACACTACGCCGTCATGGATTAAAATCCTGCAGCGCACGCAAGGTCCCCTTGCTCAAGCCAGCGCATGTCCAGGCCTGTCTGAAGTTTGCCAATGACCATCTGGATGATCCAGAGGAGGAATGGGAGAAGGTCATGTGGTCTGATGACACAAAAATAGAGCTTTTTGGTCTAAACTCCACTCGCCGTGTTTGGAGGAAGAAGAAGGTACAACCCCAAGAACACCATCCCAACCGTGAAGCATGGAGGTGGAAACATCATTCTTTGGGGATGCTTTTCTGCAAAGGGGACAGGACGACTGCACCGTATTGAGGGGAGGATGGATGGAGCCATGTATCACGAGATCTTGGCCAACAACCTCCTTCCCTCAGTAAGAGCATTGAAGATGGGTCGTGGCTGGGTCTTCCATCATGACAACGACCCGAATCACACAGCCAGGGCAACTAAGGAGTGGCTCCGTAAGAAGCATCTCAAGGTCCTGGAGTGGCCTAGCCAGTCTTCAGACCTGAACCCAATAGAAAATCTTTGGAGGGAGCTGAAAGTCCGTATTGCCCAGTGACAGCCTCGAAACCTGAAGGATCTGGAGAAGGTCTGTATGGAGGAGTGGGCCAAAATCCCTGCTGCAGTGTGTGCAAACCTGGTCAAGACCTACAGGAAACGTATGATCTCTGTAATTGCAAACAAAGGTTTCTGTACCAAATATTAAGTTCTGCTTTTCTGATGTATCAAATACTTATGTCATGCAATAAAATGCAAATTAATTACTTAAAAATTATACAATGTGATTTTCTGGATGTTTGTTTTAGATTTCGTCTCTCACAGTTGAAGTGTACCTATGATAAAAATTACAGACCTCTACATGCTTTGTAAGTAGGAAAACCTGCAAAATCGTAAGTGTATCAAATACTTGTTCTCCCCACTGTATATATCCATAGAAATGATGCCAGCTGATTCATGATTTAGACTGGTTGAGAATGCTGCCTGCCTGTCTGTCTCGTCCCGACACGTTCATTACTATGTGACAGCTGGAGATCGAATTCGAATATAGAAACAATGTTGCAAATGTCAGAGAGACAGACAGCAAAGTTTATACAAATCTCCGCTGTTGAAAACGAAATGTTAGTCTAAAAGAAATGTGAGATAATGTCTAGATGCTTTTTATAGTGGAGATCAAGTTTATAAATTGCTTGGCTGGGCTGATGTGACATGGGATTGCGCAGTCATATGGAACAGAGTAAAAAGGCATTTTAACGTCATAGATTTAGCCGGTGGTAACTTGTGGAATAGACACAGGCTGGAATTAGGTTTTAACCAATCAGCATTCAAGATTAGACCCACCCGTTGTATAATAATTGGGAGCTAACATGGCTACCATAGAATGTTGTAGTGTCATGTAAATGCATCATAATGCAGAAACCTCAATGTCCTAACTCTCTAAATACAGTACATGGCTATGGTCTTCTTCATGTAGATGTTTCCACGATTACAACGATTGGCTCTCCAATCAGATTGTCAGATAGCACTCTAGTTAGATTTCATTGAGATGTCTTTGGGAGACTTTGGTGAGGACATCACTTCGATGCTCAAATTGTGCTGCCATTTGTCTAATATCACATGCCATTGTCTCCAATCAAGTCCCAAGTAATGAAGTGTCCCTATTAGTGTCATGCTCACAGAGAAAGCCAGTAATTAGCCTACCCTACAATAGCAACAAAATGGGTGTCTTGTTGTCACAGTGTCATTGGGAAATAGTGCACCGAATCCTCACATGCTCTAATCAGCTACATGGCCTCAATGGCCTTCATGGATTAATTAATGATAAAATGTTGATTGGGCTCATTAACACTGGAACTAACTGCTGTGGTAGAAATTCTATAGGAAGAGAGACTGTAGATTCCTTCAAACAACAACTTTATTATAAGATTAGCAAAAATTTAGAAATCAACCATCCACTCAACAGTGCATTGTTGAAAGCTCAACGAACACAGTTGGCTCTCTCCTTTTATGGAAAGTACATCCTCTTATCTATGTGACAGTTAGCAGATGTGCAGACACAGGGCCGGGGAACAGAGTTGTATCGCCACCATTCTCTGTTCCTCCCGGTAATTCCCACATAGCTAAATTCCTGCCGATCGTAAACACAGGAGGTCACATATTGCGGTCGCACCCAACGGCTCATAAATCTGTACGCTCAGATTTATGACTAAGTCACACAAGACAAGTTGGATCAGTAAAAATACTAGCATAGTATGTCTAATTAAACAGTATTGTATGTAATGAATATTAATTTCCTCCACACTGCCTTCATCATTTGACGAAAATATACATTCTGATCAATGGCCCAATTATTTGGCTGGCATCATTAATCCCGTGCCATTACATTTTGACTTCCTTTCCACAAATCAAATGCCAAATCCTATGCCCATTGTGTACCACAAGCTTGTTTTAGCATAATATGTGATAAGAATTATAACCCAAATCCATATTGTGTGATTGCTCTGTACTGTACACAATAGGTCTAACTGATTGTGTGCGTTGTTTTGCAGAGTGTGGGCTATTGAGTGGAGGTCTGAGGCATGGCCTGGTTCTGGCCCCCCTGGGTGAAAAACACCCAGCAGCCCTGAGATGATGAGTAGCCCTCCGCCCTGGCACTCCTCTAAGTGATGAAGACCCCTGCCATCCTCCTCCTCATCCTGTCTGTCCTGTGCAGAACTGAGGTAGGCACTTTTAACTTGGTTTCTGCTCATTACGGCAGTAGTGATTGTACTTAACATTACTTCCCACCTTCAATCCATCCATAGAAGTGTGTTTTGTCATTAGACGCTGCTGTTGTTAGTTTGTTTGATTGTCCTCAGGAGCTGTTATGAAATGTAAATCATGTGAAGATGATTCACTGTTCTGAATCACTGCAGGTAATAACGGTCTCAGTGTGCTTTAGAGAACACAATCAGAGTGCTGGGAAGCTGATCTGAACAGCAGTGTCAGTGTAATGTGCTTTGAATCCTCAATCGATGCAGCTGGTTTAGTGTTTGTGTCAGCTTTTATGGAGAACTTAAGTTACAACACTACAGTAAGCCAAGGCATTAGTGTTTTTTATATCCAGTCAGGTTTTACACCCAGTCAGGCCCAGTGCAGTTAGGTATTGTGGGGTTACCCAGAAGAACCCACTGGGGTTGACCCCTGACCTGTAATTTGTGACCGGCAGCTTGTGTCAACGAAGACGGTGAAGCACACGGTGGAGGAATGGAACAGATACAGGAACGAGTGCCTGCTGAGAATGAGCATGGACCCCACACCCCCAGGTAAGACTCAAAGACAGACACGTGTCCTATGTGTCCTAATCAGGCACACCCCATTATGGGTTTATAAATAGAATAGAATAACATAGAAAACGTTATTGTTGCAGCGGAAATATGCCTTTGGCTTCACAATTATAATAAAACACCAGGAGCTTTATCACCCCTCTCCTTTCTCTCAAACAAATCCACAGAAGTCCACAGAATCTACCCAATTCTTAGAATAAGTACCATGAGTTAGGCTACTTAACATCTGACCCAACAGACTGCATCCATTGCAGGGCAGTATACTCATCATTACTACTGTTTTCCCAGGTGGTCGTCCTCCAAACACTAAACAGTCTCTATCCTGCTTAGCTTCAGACAAAAGCTTAGGGATTCAGGGTCTGCTTACTGCTTACTTACTTACTTACTTACTTACTTACGTCTTACTTATATATTTTCTTCTGCTCCCAGGCTTGTTCTGCGGCCGCATGTTTGACATGTATGCCTGCTGGCCGGAGGGTGTCCCCAACACCACCGTCAAAGTGCCCTGCCCTTGGTACCTACCCTGGTACAACCAAGGTACTGGTGTGGCATTGGTTAGTGCTTTATGGTTTGGTAGGAGAATTGAGATTCTGTTTCAATCAACTTCCAGCTAGGAGGTTAATGATAACACTGTTTCTATCGAAAGCCGTGCAGAATCAGGCCCCCAGTGTCTGGTCTGGAGCGTGAAATCACAAGCTCAGCTGGTCGGCTACTGCGTAGCAGCCTAGCGGTGCCAAAAGCCCTGGAGCCTCTTTTATAACCGCCATTTCATTAAAGAGTACGACTCCGGGATGCTGACCTTCTAGGCAGAGTTGCAAAGAAAAAGACATATCTCATTATATGAAGCTGCCAGTTGAGGACCTGAGAGGCGTCTGTTTCTCAAACTAGACACTCCAATGTATTTGTCCTCTTGCTCAGTTTTGCACCGGGGCCTCCCACTCCTCTTTCTATTCTGGTTAGAACCAGTTTGCACTGTTCTGTGATGGGAGTAGAACACAGCGTTGTACGAGATCTTCAGTTTCTTGCCAATTTCTCGCATGGAATAGCATTAATTTCTCAGAACAAGAATAGACTGACGAGTTTCAGAAGAAAGTTATTTGTTTCTGGCCATTTTGAGTCTGTAATCGAACCCACAATTGCTGATGATCCAGATACTCAACTAGTCTCAAGAAGGCCAGTTTTATTGCTTCTTTAATCAGCACAACAGTTTTCAGCTGTGCTAACATAATTGCAAAAGGGTTTTCTAATGATCAATTCGCTTTTTTAAATGATAAACTTGGATTAGCAAACACAATGTGCCATTGGAACACAGGACTGATGGTTGCAGATGATGGTCCTCTGTACGCCTATGTAGATATTCCATAAAAAATCAGCAGTTTCCAGCTACAATAGCCATTTACAACATTAACAATATCTACACTGTATTTCTGATCAATTTGATGTTATTTTAATGGACAACAAAATTGCTTTTCTTTCGAAAACAAGGACATTTCTAAGTGACCCAAAACTTTTGAACGGTAGTGTACAGTGAGGGAAAAAAAGTATTTGATCCCCTGCTGATTTTGGACGTTTGCCCACTGACAAAGAAATGATCAGTCTATAATTTTAATGGTAAGTTTATTTGAACAGGGAGTGACAACAAAAAAATACAGAAAAACGCAAAATGTTATAAATTGATTTGCATTTTAATGAGGGAAATAAGTATTTGACCCCCTCTCAATCAGAAAGATTTCTGGCTCTCAGGTGTCTTTTATACAGGTAACGAGCTGAGATTAGGAGCACACTCTTAAAGGGAGTGCTCCTAATCTCAGCTTGTTACCTGTATAAAAGACACCTGTCTACAGAAGCAATCAATCAATCAGATTCCAAACTCTCCACCATGGCCAAGACCAAAGAGCTCTCCAAGGATGTCAGGGACAAGATTGTAGACCTACACAAGGCTGGAATGGGCTACAAGACCATCGCCAAGCAGCTTGGTGAGAAGGTGACAACAGTTGGTGCGATTATTCACAAATGGAAGAAACACAAAATAACTGTCAATCTCCATCGGCCTGGGGCTCCATGCAAGATCTCACCTCGTGGAGTTGCAATGATCATGAGAACGGTGAGGAAGCAGCCCAGAACTACACGGGAGGATCTTGTCAATGATCTCAAGGCAGCTGGGACCATAGTCACCAAGAAAACAATTGGTAACACACTACGCCGTGAAGGACTGAAATCCTGCAGCGCCCGCAAGGTCCCCCTGCTCAAGAAAGCACATATACATGCCCGTCTGAAGTTTGCCAATGAACATCTGAATGATTCAGAGGAGAACTGGGTGAAAGTGTTGTAGTCAGATGAGACCAAAATAGAGCTCTTTGGCATCAACTCAACTCGCCATGTTTGGAGGAGGAGGAATGCTGCCTATCACCCCAAGAACACCATCCCCACCGTCAAACATGGAGGTAGAAACATTATGCTTTGGGGGTGGTTTTCTGCTAAGGGGACAGGACAACCTCACCGCATCAAAGGGACGATGGACGGGGCCATGTACCGTCAAATCTTGGGTGAGAATCTCCTTCCCTCAGCCAGGGCATTGAAAATGGGTCATGGATGGGTATTCCAGCATGACAATGACCCAAAACACACGGCCAAGGCAACAAAGGAGTGGCTCAAGAAGAAGCACATTAAGGTCCTGGAGTGGCCTAGCCAGTCTCCAGACCTTAATCCCATAGAAAATCTGTGGAGGGAGCTGAAGGTTCGAGTTGCCAAACGTCAGCCTCGAAACCTTAATGACTTGGAGAAGATCTGCAAAGAGGAGTGGGACAAAATCCCTCCTGAGATGTGTGCAAACCTGGTGGCCAACTACAAGAAACGTCTGACCTCTGTGATTGCCAACAAGGGTTTTGCCACCAAGTACTAAGTCATGTTGTGCAGAGGGGTCAAATACTTATTTCCCTCATTAAAATGCAAATCAATTTATAACATTTTTGACATGCGTTTTTCTGGATTTTTTTGTTGTTATTCTGTCTCTCACTGTTCAAATAAACCTACCATTAAAATTATAGACTGATCATTTCTTTGTCAGTGGGCAAACATACAAAATCAGCAGGGGATCAAATACTTTTTTCCCTCACTGTATATATGTCCCCCCCACTTCTAAAAACAAAGTTGAGCCCCTGCATAAAGCCTATCTATTTACTAGGCTACTAGGTCCAATTAAATGAGAGATGTGCATGGTAATTTGTTGTATGGCTCAGGAATATGAACCTATCACGGCCAGAAAAGGTGAGGAATATATTCTGCAATGGTTATGAAAATAAAATACGAAAAAGATTCCTATGTATAATTATAAGATTATTTTAGACTAAAAATAATTCTGGTCTGCCCTAGAAAGCCTATGTAAATTAGGATCACCAGAATGGCCAAAGCAAAAACAATGTGCCGGTTATTTTGGCCTCTAAAATGTGTTTATTATGATTAAGTTCGATCCCCACGGTGAATTATTTTAAAATCCGCTACAAATCGAGATATTTAATTAAATAGTGAGTAAATCCATTATGACTACTACATTAATTTTGTCGTCACACATGACCACGTGCTAACACAGAACAATCACGGGCCGGCAGTCTACGAGGAGGATCCCGGTTGACTCTCAAGCAGGATTAAAACGACTACATCGACCATGATCCTTTGCTAGTTACGGACACTTTCACAATGATCCTTAATTCAAATAGTTTCGGCTTCATGCGCTATCGAGAGTTTTCCATAGGAATACATGGATGACGTCAGCGCTATCACTGTCTACTGGTTTTAATGTCTATGTGCAGAATTGAATTTGTCTCATTTGTTTGACTTCTTCCTTTATCTCTCCCTCACCATGTCTGTGCAGTTCGTACTGGGTATGTGTTGCGGGAGTGTGGGCCTGATGGGCAGTGGGCCATTAACAACACCAGTAGCAACTGGAGGGACCACTCCCAGTGCAACGCAGACAACAACCAGCAGGTAGCACAGGTAATACACATCATGCACCAGTAGTAGACCCTCTTCTCAGAACACGTAACAAGAGACAAAGGGTTAATGCTTTTAATTACTGAATTTGACTTTTAGAAAACTTCACCAGTAGTCTTAGGAGACCCTCCAAGTACTGACAGATGCTTTGAGAGGTGAACTAATTCATGGCCAAATAGCCATTCAAAAAGCAATGGGTAATAGAGTAGGTATTCCAATGGCCTACCACCTGTACAGGACATAGAAATGCAATTACCAGAATGGCCATTATTTTATTATATTGCCCAAATACTCTGATTGCTTATGAATGTTGAGGTGGGCTAGCAACAGCAGCAGTTGCTGTCCCCTAATGTTGACTTCCACTCATCCCTATCAGCATGCTCAACTCACGTCCTCCTTACCCTTTCTTAATTTCACATTGAGTGCTGCACCCCATTACGAGCTCAGTAATGAATGGCCCATTCACTACATGAATATAGAATATGTCATTACTTAGTCTGTACTACATACAGGGTTATAGATCTGCCAGGGCTACAGAGTGTGAGGGGTGAGCTCTGAGAGATTTACGCTCCACTTCACCACTGTTTGACACCTGTTATACTCGCATGTTCTAATCTGTGAGATTCATAAGCCTAGAGTATACATTAATGGAGTGTCACATTTTTAATAGGAGCTTATTTAGTGTACTGAGCATCATTAAAACATTTATGAACATTTCCCAAGGCATAATAGACAACAAGACAATAGGACTTCTTGCAGCAGTGCATCTGCTTTGTCTGTATCTGTGTCTCTGTTTGCACTCAATCAAAAGGACAGGACATTCGTTCAGTACAGCACAGCGCATCCATAATAGAGTCAGAGAGTTATAGGTGAAAACAGGGTCATGTTGTTCCTTCGTCTACTTGGGATTTGAGTGCAGGTCTTTGTGTGTCCACAGGAGAACCAGATGGTGATCTTGGCCTACTTCCGGGTGATGTACACTGTGGGCTACTCTCTGTCCCTGGCCAGCCTTTCCCTGGCCCTCGTCATACTGCTCATCTTCAGGTAAATACTGTCTCTGACCACAGTCATAAACAGTATATGGTCCATCTTTATATGTCAGGATTTGATTCTGACTATGGGACTGTTTGTTTGGACTAAGGCAATGGCTTCACTTCTAGTCCTCTGATGTGAATTAGGCAAATGTAAATCATACAGATGTAGGATCTTAATTTGAGCCAGTTTGCTACAGCAGGAAAATAATCCTGCAGCAACACGAAATGTGAATTATTATGTGGATTATAATTAATGGATATTTCTTGTTACAGCAAATTCTGAAAATTTAAAGAGGAAATTACAAACTTTAGAAGCCTTTTTAAACCTTGAATACACAGTTTGCATTTCCTGCACAAAATTCCCAGCAACAAAAGAGTAATCAAATTAAGATCCTACATCTGTATATGACATATACATGATGCTGGAAATAATTTTGTGATACAGTAATCTCATTGTCAAGTGTTGTACCCTAGGAAACTAAGGTGCACCAGGAACTATATCCACACCAATCTGTTTGCGTCCTTCATTCTGCGAGCCATATCCATCCTCACCAGAGATGCTGTTCTCACCAGGGACACCCCCGAGTTCAGAGACAACAGAGACGTGTCCAATGTCCTCAGTGATAAGGTCAGAACTAAAGGCTATACACACTAATGCAGGTTACAGGAACACACATACACAAACATACAGTTTAAAGACTCAATTAATCTCTCATACTTTAGACAGCCATCCTTGACCTCCTCCCCTGACCTTTGTCGTGACGTGACTTACTTTAATGTATGACTGTTATTTATCGAATCACCTATCTATGTTTAATCGTAACTCGATTAAATTAATCATATAACAATTCACTCATCAGGAATTTGGGGCACCACGGAAGAAGTTGTTTAATGAGTTACCATCTCCCGAATTAAACTCTTAGAAGATATATATATGTTATATATCGATAACAGTCACTTATTAAATAATTACCTTTTATCAGTCTTATTCTGAACGTCGCATAATCCTTGAACCTGCAAGAACCCTAACCTTATTGATGAATCAGCAATACACAAATTGGCTTAATTATTTATTTACTCACTAACTAAATAATAACACAATACAAACACACACACACATAGGTTATTCATTACTAACGTAATACAATGAAACAGGTCCCTAGTGGACTGGACTAACACTAGCATGACTGCTTGGTTAGGGGAAGGAGGGGTCAGTATGGAAGGGAGAGACAGAGATTCAAACTATCGTAGTTACTTTGGAGACTATGCTCACAGTAATCATAATACTTATGCACCCTAATAACGGTCATTTGGATTAGAAATGCAACATGTATTTACGTGATGCGGTCCACAATAGTTGAGTTGATGATGTAGGACGTTGGTTTGCCCACCAGAGATCCCAATGTCCTTGGTAGAGTTTCTGGCCGTAGTAGTGGTTAGAATGGATACTTCAGATGTACCAGCGGTTGTCTGAGAGGGATTGTCCTTCCCACTTCGTGTCTTTAGTGAAAGTTCTCTAGACGACTATACATGCCAGCTGCAGACTGAAATGATAAGGTCTAGTGCATTGTCTTTTTCTTCACCTCGTGTTGAGAGTTTCAGAGTTTCTCAATTTCAAATGTGTGGACTAACGTCTCTGTCATGACTTCGGCCGAGGCTACATCCCCTCCTTCTTCGGGCAGGCTTCGGCATTCTTCGGGCAGGCTTCGGCATTCATCGTCACCGGAGTACTAACCACTGCCGCCCCCAATCATCATCACAATTGTCTTGTCAATCACACACACACCTGGTTCTAATCCCCTAATTAGTCTGTGTATAAGTGTTCCCTCTTCCCCCTTGTCCTTGTGGGTGATTGTTATTTGTGGAGGTTAGTGAAGCTCGGTGGAGCTCGTGTATTTTGTATTGACGGGAGATTTCCCATGTGCCATGTATTTTCCAGTGCGCCTGTTTTGTGCCCTGGAGTGTGTTTGACGCATATCTGCGTAAACCTGTATTTTTGCGGATTAAAGCCTGTGTTTCAGTGATTTATCCTCCTGCGCCTGACTCCTTCCACACCACCTCATCACAGAATCACCCACCCGCTATGGAGTCAGCGGGAGAAGAGCACATGCCTGGAGTCGTGGCAAGGGTCCAGGAGCATTCCATGATGCTGGCCAGCTTGGGGGAAGCGATGGATCGGGTTCTTCAGGTAGTCCAACGCCTGGAGAGGAGAGAACCCTATCTGTCGAAACCAGCTGGCCAACCGGATCCAGCCACCTACACCCCAGCACCCGGAGGGATCCAGATATCCCGAACACGGGCGTTTGATGGGACGGCTGTGCTGTGCCAGGGATTTCTCCTCCAATTGGAGCTTTACTTCGCCAGCATCAGGCCGGAACCATCGCAGCGGGAGAAGGTGTCCATCCTCGTTTCCTGCCTCTGTGGGAAAGCCCTGGAGTGGGCCAACGCGGTATGGAACGAAGGAGGAGCCGCGTTGGTGGACTACAGGGAGTTCGCTCGCCTCTTTCGGACTGTCTTCGATCACCCGCCAGAGGGGCGAGAGGTGGGTGAGCGACTGGTCCACCTGAGGCAGGGGACGAGGACCGCGCAGGACTTCGCCTTGGAGTTTCGGATGCTGGCAGCGGGGTCCGGGTGGAACGAGCGGGCCCTGATCGACCAATTCCGGTGCCATCTGCGGGAGGACGTCCGACGGGAGCTAGCCTGCTGGGACACCATGCTGTCCTTCAATAAACTGGTGGACATGGCCATTGGGTTGGACAACCTGCTGGCAGCCAGAGGACGTCCTGGTAGGGGTCTGCTCGTTTCCAACCCGGACAACTCGGATCCCGAGCGGATGGAGCTGGGTGGAGCCGCCAGCCGAGAGAGCGGAGGAGGACAGCGACAGTGAAGGAAGGGACAGTACACCACACGTCGTAGTCAAAGTTCTTTTGGGCCTGGAGGCTGCAGGCAGGGCACTCACGCATCACCCCAGGTATCGAACACCCACACTTGTTCAGAGCCCTCTGTTGCGCACTGTACCCTACCTATCCACTTTTCGATCACATGGTAGTTCCCCAGTGTACGGCGACTGTTGGAAAATGACCTTCATGCCAAGTCAGAGAAGTGTATGTTTTTCCAGCAGTCCGTCTCCTTCCTCGGATACCGCATTACCACCTCAGGTGTGGAGATGGAGGGAGATCGCATTTCAGCCGTGCATAATTGTCCGACTCCAACCACGGTTAAGGAGGTGCAGCGCTTCCTTGGCTTTGCCAACTACTATCAGAGGTTTATCCGGGGCTTTGGCAAAGTGACAGCTCCCATTACATCCCTGTTGAAGGGTGGGCCGTCCCGGCTCCGCTGGTCTGCTGAGGCTGACCTGGCCTTCAAGAGACTGCGGGGTCTGTTCACCTCAGCTCCTGGACTGGCCCACCCTGATCCATCACTACCGTTCGTAGTGGAGGTGGATGCGTCCGAGGTAGGGATAGGCGCTGTCCTGTCCCAACGCTCGGGCACGCCACCCAAGCTCCGCCCCTGTGCCTTCTTCTCTAAGAAGCTCAGCCCAGCGGAGCAGAACTACGACATTGGTGATCGGGTTGGTGATCAGCTGTTGGCTGTTGTCCGAACCTTGGCCGTGTGGAGGCATTGGCTCGAAGGGGCGAAACACCCTTTCCTCGTCTGGACGGACCACCATAACCTGGAGTACATCCGGGCAGCGAGGAGGCTGAATCCCCGCCAGGCCAGGTGGGCCCTATTCTTCACCCGGTTTGAGTTTACCATGTCATACATTCCGGGTATGAAGAACGTGAAGGCAGACGCACTGTCCCGGCTGTATGACACAGAGGAGAGGCCCAGAGACAACACCCCCATACTCCCGGCCTCCTGACATTGTTATGCCAGTAGTATGGGCAATGGACGCGGATATAGAGCAGGCATTACTCACAGATCCATCTCCACCACAGTGTCTAGCTGGGCTGCGGTACGTGCCTGCTCTTATCCGTGATCATCTGAGCTTCTGGGCACACACGTCACCCTCCTCTGGTCACCCAGGTATCGGCCGTACAGTGCGCTGCTTGAGCGGAAAGTACTGGTGGCCTACATTGGCTAAGGACGTGAGGGTGTATGTCTCCTCCTGCTCGGTGTGCGCCCAGAGTAATGCACCTAGTCACCTCCCAGCGGGTAAGCTACAACCATTACCAGTTCCACACCGACCATGGTCTCATCTTAGTATTGACTCTCGACCCGGAATCTGCCCCTCCGCCTGCCCTGCCGGAAGCTGAGCCCACGGTTTGTGGGGCCGTTCAAAGTCCTGAGGAGAATCAACGAGGTTACGTATAGGTTGTTACTCCCCCCTGATTACCGTATTAACCCCTCGTTTCATGTGTCTCTCCTCAGGCCGGTGGTGGTTGGTCCGCTCCAGGAGTCTGAGGAGCGGGAGGTTCCTCCACCTCCTCCGGCGTACTCTGTCCGTGCCATCCTGGATTCGAGGCATCGGGTGGAGTGGGAGGTGTACGGTCCGGAGGAACGGTGCTGGGTCCCGGTGAGGGATATCCTCGATCCCTCCCTGTTGTGGGATTTCCACCGTCACCATCCGGCTCGCCCTGCTCCGCGTCCTCCTGGCCGTCCCCGAGGCCGGGGTCGGCGCGCTGCTGGAGCTGCACGTCAGGAGGGGGGTACTGTCACGACTTCGGCCGAGGCTGCCTCCCCTTCTTGTTCGGGCAGGCTTCGGCGTTCGTCGTCACCGGATTACTAACCACTGCCGCCCCCAATTATCATCACAATTGTCTTGTCAATCACACACACACCTGGTTCTAATCCCCTAATTAGTCAGTGTATAAGTGTTCCCTCTGCCCCCTTGTCCTTGTGGGTGATTGTTACTTGTGGAGGTTAGTGAAGCTCGGTGGAGCTCGTGTATTTTGTATCGACGGGAGATTTCCCATGTGCCGTGTATTTTCCAGTGCGCCTGTTTTGTGCCCTGGAGTGTGTTTGACACATATCTGCGTAAACCTGTATTTTTGGGGATGAAAGCCTGTGTTTCAGTGATTTACCCTCCTGCACCTGACTCCTTCCACACCACCTCATCACAGTCTCACGTTTTCTGGTCTTTCTAGTCTAACCATTTTGTAACGTGTAGCTTACGCTCCACGTCCTTGTAGAAATTCAACCATTTGCAACGTTTAGCTCACACTTCACGTCTGCTGGTCTGAGGTGAATTTCGTCACGAGGCTTTTTATGCACTCGGGGTAAACGGGGTGTTCCATCATGTTTGTGCTCATCTGGGCGTGGTCACTGACTGAGAACAAATCAATATGGAAAACAATCATCTCATCTAGAATGCTAAAATCACATTGTTATCTTCACAAAAGTATTATTATACTTAATCATTCGTTTTATACAACAAATAGATGCAAACCTCATAACTGGGAAGTGTACCCCACCAGAGATACAGTTATGTTGTTCCACCGTCTTTACTGACATCACAACATAGTAACGAATTTGACACGATTGTTCTTTATGTCCCCACCAACTATTTCCCACATACTTTTAAGTAGGAATGTTGTTTCATTATCCACTTTTGGATGTTGGAGTTTAGGCGGAAGACTTCCTTTGTTAACAAAGCGGTCCTTTCTCCCAATACTTCATGGCAAGGAAGAGAAAGTCTCTGCAAGGAATTTACGACCGGTCATAAAACTGGCCCCCAGGAAAGGGGGTGTTCAAACCTTTGCGTAGCAGGAATCTTTGATCCTCAACCCATAAGGGCAAGTCATGATACCTTTGACCACTGATCTTTGCCCCCAGGCCCTGTCTGGCTGCCGTGTGGCCCAGGTGCTGATGCAGTACTGTGTGGGGGCTAACTACTACTGGCTGCTGGTGGAGGGCCTGTACCTTCACAACCTCCTGGTGCTTATGGTCTTCTCAGAGAACAGCTACTTCTGTGGATACCTCTTCATCGGCTGGGGTAGATACATACTCACACACACACATACACACAGATGAACACACACGCATGGTAAATAATATAAATACTGTTTCCTGACAGTAATGTATGGGTTAATGGCACTGTGTGTAGGATCCCCAGTGTTATTTGTGGTCCCCTGGATTATAGTGCGGTACCTGTATGAAAACACACGGTGAGTCACTCATTTCCATCCAATCTTATTTCCTCATAATCTGTTACTAAAAACTGAATTCCAACTGAGAGATTATGATTCATCTCCTCCCAGGTGCTGGGAGATCAACGAGAACATGGCGTACTGGTGGATCATCCGCACACCCATCCTCCTGGCCATTCTGGTGAGTGTGTGTGGCATGAGTGTCGACTGTGCTGTGTGCCCTAAAGCAGTGGGGGTCCAGGGGTGAGTCATTCGTCAACCCCCTCCCCCCGCTTCCCCTGTAGTCTTGTCTCTTTGAAGTTAGCAGACCGTTACCTCTGAAAATTGTGCAAACGTGAAAGCTGAGTGGGCATGTTTTGGTTCCGGAATGCACTGTACATTAAAATTAATGGATGACTCATCAACCCAGAAGACAAAATGAATGTCTTTCTTTTCTTAGTAACACTTAACAAGTTCCTTGAAGCTTGAATTCACCTTATCTTAAGAGTGTTTAATTAGCGTCTCTCAGTGAAACTCTGAGAGGAAGAAAATATAATTTTTTCTACGGTATTTTGCATCAGAAGCAACATGCCAGAAGATATGAGGATTCTCCTGTCACAGATTACTTGTCATTTGTCCCACAACTCTCGCGTTGCCCCTCAGGATAAAATGCCTAACCTGGTTTGACATAGTTAGTAATGTTAGACATAGACTGTGTTTTCTATCTCTGTTTTACTTTTCATATTGTATTGATGTGTATATTTTTGTAATTACAAGGCTCATCTGTTAAAGAGGCCTTGGTCTCAGCATGACTCCCTGTCAAAATAAAGGTTAAATAAATAGGAGTAATTCACACATGTAATATGGCGTGAGTTGGACTCTGTCACCTGGACTTTGCTCATAATACCCCTAACATGCTGCAGTCTGACTTTGGAACTCAAACTTTAGCGTTTGACATTATTGTGGAATTCTCACATATTCACCCTACTTCAACAGTAGCAGTTATCCTTGTTTCCCTTTCTTTTATAATACTGAAATGCCAGAGAACAGAACAGACCTATTTGGATACATATCCTTTTTAGATGTCAGATTCTTACATTTTCTCTCTGACAATAATAAAGCTAATATTGGGTGGTTTGATGTTGATTATGTTTTATTAATATTTTTGTTATTCCAGGTCAACTTTTTCATATTTATTCGGATCATACAGATCCTTGTCTCCAAATTAAAGGCACACCAAATGAGGTACACCGATTATAAATTCAGGTAAGAAAGATACAGCACCTTCTAATCCATGAACTACATAAAAGAAAACCAGAATAAAAACACAAAACAAACACTGTATTGTATCTTGTAAAACTGACTTAGTCAACTCATTGCTTACACGTGTTTACTTGTTTCTTGTCACGTGACTTTGTCCATGTCATACCTTGTTAAACACTGTCCCATTCACGGAACATTACCGTACCTTTGGCAGCGTTGTTGTCACTTATCGTCCAGCATGAACACACAAGGACTCTACAGCAGACATTATGATGACATAACTCTTTCCACACTAAAGACATTTGCTTCAAACTCAGTTGACATCCATTACCTCAATAATCCATCACTAAGTTGACTTGCACTTCTACTAACCCTTTATGGCATGCAGAGGAAAGGGAGCTATGGAATTCTTTGATGTTTCTGTGGTATTCAAGGAGGCCTCCCATCCATTGATTGTGAGCCGGGGTCCTTGGAGACGGTATAGACTTTTTAGGAAACCAGCCACATCCAAGAGACCAGTTGCATGCATAATCCTCTGACCTAAGCCTGGCCTCGAGGCACACTGGATAACATGAGTCTAATTGGAATCTAAGGACAAATGCAGCTGATGCACTGATTCTGAACCACCAAAGAATCATGGGAAGAGGAGGCCTTTCTGATTTCCCAATCAGGTTGTGGCTTTCGTTGTTTGGCTTTTATGTGTTTGTGTGAAAAGGGAACCATCCATTGATGTCATTGATGAAAGAGATTCACCATATAGGACCAAATAGACCTCTCTAATAGTTGCCCTTTCTTGGCTCTGTAAAGGATGCTCTGTGTGTGCAGGTTGGCTAAGTCCACTCTGACCCTCATCCCTCTCCTGGGCATCCATGAGGTTGTCTTTGCCGTGATGTCAGAGGAACAGACAGAGGGCATCCTCCGAAATATCAACCTCTTCTTTGAACTTTTCTTCAACTCTTTCCAGGTAATATGATGAGATACAAAGGTTATGCATTCGTCTATATGGCGGGGTGTTTGGGTAGGCCGTCATTGTAAATAAGAATTTGTTCTTAACTGACTTGCCTAGTTAAATAAAGGTTCAATAAAAAAATAAAATGCTGTGTGAGTGTGTGAGTGAGTGAGTGTCTTCTTCTGATACCTCTCTCTCTCTCGTCCCACAGGGTCTCCTGGTTGCCATCCTGTACTGCTTCGTCAATAAAGAGGTGAGTAAGGAAGAAGTGAAGTGTGCTCTCAACAAAGCCCAGGGCAAAACAAGTGTACTTGAATATCATTAGCAAACACCTGAGGTTATGGCACATTCGTCTCTGTTTGTTCCTATGAGAAGCCAGTGCTTTCTGTGACCTGCTGGGTATGTCACCCTGTCACTGTGGGTTAGCTGTCTCACAGAGAAGCTCACTACCTAAGTCCACAGGGCAACGGGATGTCATTGAGGGGCCCAGCCATGTGTAGAGTCAAGAAGTGTATAGGCCACTGTGTGACATGAAAGGTCCGATGTATTTCCTGTTGAGATATGGCCTAGTTTGGTTGAGGTAGCCTACATACAGTAGTGTTTAAAGTGAGTAAAGATCAAATTAGATACAATTTGTCTTGTGAAACGTTATTCCTGGTCAGATCATAAGGTCAGGAAAAACTCATTACCCTCCCTGCCTCCATCTCTCCCAGGTGCAGTCAGAGATAAAGAAGAAGTGGCAGCGATGGAAGCTGGGTATGACCGTCCTGGACGACCTTCGCAACACCGGCAGCAACACGGCACAGGGGGGCACCAGCGGCGGGCAGTGCCACCACAACCCGCCCTGCCAGCCTGACTGTCCACAGGAGGACACCCACAACCTCTCCTCGGACGCCTCCGCCTCGGGGCTGCATCTCGACCCGCACCCACACCACCATCCAGGAGCCAAGAAGGGCAAGGCATACTGCTACATTTCCGCCCGCAAGCAGGTGCTGAACGGCCTTGATGGAGCTCCGCTGGGCAACGGGGGCGGAGATGGAGCCATCAAATACTCTGAGAGCTACTGCTGAGTGGCCCTGTGGGGGGCTAATGGGGGCTAACAACTAGCTGGCTACCTTTGTCATTTCTAGTGGATGGAATCTGAACCAGACAATCACCTGCTTCCAATTCAGTTGTGTACTTCCAGATCTATGTGGCCTACTTGGTGTTTCGTCAAACCCATGTCTTAATAGTTGTGTGAATGTGATCTGGGACTCAATGGATGATTGCCAGAATGCATTTTCTGCACTGGCCAATCAGGCTGTGTTGTGACTCCTGTAGGCTTTCAGTGGCAGATAAGATGACCCATCCCAAGTGCAATATCGCCTCAATTGACCTAGATGTTGAGGAAAGCTACTTAAATTAGGAAATGAACACCATCCAACCATTATCTTCTCTGATTGGACTGTTTTGGGGGTTTGCTTCTTTGTTTTCTACCTCTCGCTCTACTTGTGGACAAAATGGAAACGTTATGTGCCAACCGTGGACCGTCTTTTCATGTGCAATGGATATTATAACAATAGTGTGTTGATATGTTGGTATTGGACAATCACTCTGTGAAAAACTTAGAGAAGGCAAGAGTTGAGTAAACCAATATTGTCTTCAACAGTGAGCTGGCCACACACTATGGTTTGCCTAGGCAATACTGTATTTTGAATTCTTCTCACCCAATCGTTTAACATCTCTAATGCCCCTTGCTCTCTAGTCATACATTTACTGCAACCTTATAGGCGTAACTGAATACTGTAAGCAAAGGAACCGCGCTCGTACGCAATATCAATATCATAGACCTAAAGGAAGGCACATAACTAACATGGTGGTGGCTGAAAATGAAAAAAAAAGATGTCTCTGATTACATGCCTAAGGGGGGTTCGATCACATGCACTATATGGAAGATAACTAGCAAGAGATTTATTCTTCAAATGAAGTCAGTGGGGGAAGGGGAGTTTCTTTACTGCACTGTCAAAATGGGTTTAATTATTTGTAATGTCCTATTGACATAGTGAAAACGATCACAGAATGGAAGGTGACCGTAATCCAGAGGTCTTTTAAGCACTGCATCTATAAGCAAATGAAAAGATGAGAACAGGAACGGTGTAGAATCTTCTCGATTTATCACAGACTTATGGAATCTAGAATGAAAATGATCTCTATCGTGGTGAGTTATGGTAGCTTGTTATCCGCCACAAATCTTTTTTTCTTGTAGGTTTTCCAGACTAACCACAACCACTTACTACCCAGCTGAAGGTTTTATATCCCCCTGAACACAGGTTGTAACATCCCAAGAGGGAATCTCTCCTCTGCCTCTGCCATGTAGCCTAATCCCTATGGTGCAATATGAAATGGCTCTCTACATGATAGACCACAGCTACAAAATACACATTAGTATTCTACTGTATGTGTGTTGATGGTATGTTGTAGGTCTATGTGTCTGACAGCATGTTTGCAAAGCTAGGATCCATTCTGTTCCTCTGTGAAGACATCTGGTACATTACATATATCTGTGTAAGGACGCAACAAACTCAGTTCTCTATGCTGGAATCTGTGAGAAACAAAATATTTTGCCCTGATCACACACTCACCCTCAGTGAAGATTTGAAATACCAATTAACCAATATGAGTTTCGCTAAAGGTGATTCTTTGAACCCATTTCATGATTTTTAACAAGCACAGCACAACCCTAACTTCTCCAGATATAGCTTGACTACTCTGTGTGTATCGATCTGTCTGAGCATCCAGAACCCTCAACTCATTTTACTGTTTGTCATTAGTCTCTTCTTGAGGGTCACATTAAACCTAATGGCTATCCACCAGTTGAACAGTGGTTCTGTAGGCAATTAAACCAGGCAATTTCCAACTTCCCTTTTGAAATAGCTCCTCTAAACCACATACACAGAGGCCCCATCTTCACACATACCAATGGAGTAATGAGGTAGCTTTGTATTTCTGTCTGACCATTCACTCCAAATGGGGTCAACCCATTACCCAAGCATGTCCACCATTCATCTCTCAGTGTCATCAAAATGTAGTATGTCATACAAAATAACATACATTTTTTCACTAGCAGTATTCCTACTAGGGTCATTACTGGTGCTTGACAGAGATGCCTCTGGTGGCATAGATCATTACTCTAAGTGTGTGTGTGTGTGTGTGTGTGTGTGTGTGTGTGCTATTATCTTTATTTCCAAAGTGGCTTGGCTGAACCTCACAACCCCTGAAACAGCATTCACAAACTGAGCGTTGCACTTCACAAATATCTTCTTGTATAGTATACCTTTGGCAACAGCACATGTAGCCTTTGGAATTTCTTAGGCCAACATTACAAAACATTTAGTAAAACTGCTTATGTCAGACATGGACTTTTCAATAGAAAATGGTTAGTTAGCATTGCTACATGTAGTATGTGTTAGAGTTGTGCTGTGCTGTGAGGGAGGTGGATTCAGTGGATGCCTACGTTAGAACCATGCAGTGAGTTAGCACTTTACTGTCACCCTGGACCCATAATACATTGGGTCCATTGTGGCAGGGGTGGAACGTGTTACATAAACAGACATGTCCTTCTGACTTGATTCCACATGTTCTATATACCTGTCAACAGGTAAACTGGGTTCACTGAGACTCAAATTATATTTAACTCTGTGTGAATATGTTATCATCACAGGGAGATTACAGTAGAAAGATCAGCAGTAAATCTCACATACTGTATAAGACTGTGACATGAATGGACACTACCTTTATTCACTTTTCATGTTTGTTATTTTTCACAAGTAATTTAAATTAAATTAATCTGCCAGTTTAAGTATTTGTCTATTGTTTTTTGTATCTAATAACATGACATGACAACTTTGCTGTTGAGACTCCTTATTCAGAAAATAAATCACATTGAATTTCATCAAGATTAAAAGCTGTTTGATCAATTAAATATTTGGTGTCCTGAGTTTGACATAGCAGGTGTAGGGGCGCGCCAGGCGACCAACGAAGTAGGATACTACACTGGCGTCAATTTCCTCCGGAGGTTTGGTGCCCCTGAAGGTGAAGCGCTGAAGAAGGGAAATAAAGAACAGGAAGAGTACCATCCTGGGAATCCCCATTCCATCTCCCAGGCAGGACCGCTTCCCTGAGGGACAGTGGGAGAGGAGAGAGGTTACCTTCAGCAGTCAACCTGCAATCCTGGGACTGAAACCTACACATTGGCCTTGTTTGATATGCAAAACATATAAAACAAGATGTAAGCAATGTGTAACTATATTGTGTGATGATGTTGAGGCTTTTTCTCTGAGAGCTACTACGGCGTGGTTCTTGTTTTCACATTCTCATTCTTTTATTAGCCACTTGTAACGTAATCTTACCCAGTCCAAAAGCAAGAAATCCGTTGTTTTCCTTAAAGCGTCCATTTTCATCCAGGAAGTTCTCTGGGTCAAACTCATCTGGGTTCTTAAACAGTTTGGGGTCAAACAGCACAGAGGACAACAGTGGAAACACTGTGGTACCCTGGAAGAATAACAAAAGAGCACTTACATAAAACAATTGGCAGTTTAACAAGCAAAAATAATAGACGTTTGGGATACATTTGCAGAAATAGTGGTCACCTTTGGGATGTGGTAGTTGTGGAACGTTGTGTCTCGGGTCATTTGGTGAGGGACAGCAGTGGGAGCAAGACTCATACTTCTCTGGATTTCGTGGATGACAGCATTCGTGTAGGGCATCTTATGTCTGTCGTCAACGGTGGGGACTCTGTTCGAGCCAATCACCTCGTCTATCTCCTCTTGAACTTTCTCTGAGGAAGAGAGACACAGTCATAGACCTTCATAGCATTTGCATTCTGTCATTTATGTTTATATACAGTGTTTATAGTGTATTGAGAATAAAGAAATGCCAGCATGTATGTGCTGCTTACATGGTATGTAATGTAAACTCTCTGTTGCAGCTCTTGTTTGGCTGGTTTTCCAGACCCAAATTCAAATGTTCAATAGGTAATCTCCATTCATTATAGTGCTTTTTAGTCCAGGAATAGGTTTAATCTGCGTCCTGGAAACTGGCCCATTAAATTGGGTTGCATTACTATTTGCTATATATTTGCAATAAATGAGTATAACTTCAATAACAGTGATATAGAAGAGAGGATACCTTGGATGTCAGGGTACTTGATCATCATCAGACAGGCGTGTGACAGGGTGGAGGACTGGGTCTCTGTGCCGGCAGCAAACAGATCCCACACACACGGAAACAAGTTGTCATAGTTGAATTCAGTCCCGGGCTGATCTTTCTCCTAAGGAAAGTTGGAAGATACCTCTAAACCATACACTGATAAGAGATTTGTGAGAAAGTTTATGAGAAAGTTAACTTTTGCAAAAAGATTCGAACCCAAGTAATCATTTATCATATATTTAGGAAAACAGTGCCTTCTGGTGGCAAGTTGGTGCTATTACATTATTTTGATAACGTAAGAGGTTCAACATCCAATTCCAGGAATCAATCACTGTTTTACCTCCAGCATTCTAACCAGGAATACATCGAAGTAGTCCTGGGGGTTAGAGGTGTCCAGGCTTTTAAGACGACGATCTGCTTCCTCTCGTATGTAAGCTTTGGCCTTGTCTATGGCCTTAAACAGCTCATGGTGTTTTCCTGGAAAGCACTCAACAATTCTGGGGGAAATGTTGTACAGCTGGAAGAGGCGGAACATAGGAAACATGGGAAGGAAAGGATGGTTGTTATATTCTAATGGTGACCCATGTACTTTTGTTATCATTATCCATTTTGGCAGGCAAGCTTATAAGACACAATCAAGCCATGCTTTGGAAAAGCTGGTATAGATAAATATCAGGCATACAGTGCATATCATAAGTATTCACCCCCCTTGGATTATTTCACATTTTGTTGCATTACAAAGTAGGATTGAAATAGGTATAATTGTGATTTCTTTGTCACTGATCTACACAAAATACCTCAAAGTGAAAAGAACATTCTATACATTTTTACATATTAATAAAAAATAAAGAATAAAATGTATTGGTTATACAAGTTATGTTATGGCAAGCCTTATTATGTTCAGGAGTCCAAATTTGCCTAACAAATCATATAATAAGTTGCATGTACAATAATAGGGGTTAACATGATTTTTTGAATGACTACACCATCTCTGTAACCCACACATACAATTATCTGTAAGGTCTCTCAGTTGAGTAGTGTTTTTCAAGAACAGATTTAACCACAAACACCAGGGGGCTTTTCCAATGCCTCGCAAAAAAGGGCACCGATTGGTAGATTTAAAAAATAAAAATAAACAGACACTGAATATCTCCTTGACCATGGAAAGTTATTAATTAGGCTTTAGATTGTGTATCAATACAACCAATAATTTTTTTTAAAAGTGAAATCGCTAAGCGGTTTCCTTCCTCTCCGGCAACTGAGTTAGGAAGGACACCTGTATCTTTGTAGTGACTGGGTGTACTGATACACCATCCAAAGTGTAATTAATAACGTCACCATGCTCAAAAGATATTTAATGTCTTCAGGCTGTAACACAACTAAATGTGGAAGAAGTCAGGAAGTATGAATACTTTCTGAAGGCACTGTATGTGCTACCATACCATTGACACTTTGCTTTTTAGCATGTCGAAGTATGTATAGACAGGCTTGTAGAGGATATGAAACTCTGGGTCGTTGTATTCAAATCTGCGCCCAAAGACTATGGACCAGAATAGGTTGATGATAGAATGGAACAGGAGTTCTTTGGGGTTGACAGTGGAATCTGGAAGAGACGGCAGACAAGCATAAACACTCATGCCTGCACACCACAGGAGGTTGGTGGCACCTTAATTGGGGAGGACGGGCTCGTGGTAATGGCTGGAGCGGAATCAGTGGAATGGTATCAAATACATCAAACACATGGTTTCCATGTCTTTGATACCATTCCATTAAGTCTGTTCCAGCCATTACTATGAGCCGTCCTCCCCTCAGCAGCCTGTGATGCACACACACAAACAGATGTCACAGACAAAAACAACATACCTCCATATTCACTGAAGGCTTTCACTAGACTCTTAGCTTCCTCTTGGACTATCTCCTCAAGGCTCCTGCATCCTATTCCTTGGTTTTTCAGGGACATCAAGGAGAAGCTGCGAAGAGTTTCCCATCTCTGCCCATTACTTGATCCCACCCCTAGATTGATGAGTACAACAGGACAGAGGCACAGACAGATAGGATGAACATAACACATTAGTTCCCTCTTCTAAGCAAAGTCCATTTCCACCCAGATTGACTATGACACATGTATCTCACACCATCCCTCTTCCATTCATTTCACTCACCGTGTTCGTTAAGGAGTTTCAGGGTAATGGCAGGGTTGGCTCTTCCATTGAACTCTTCTCCTTGGTCTACCAGAGCTTCCTTGATGGCCTGATAGCCAGAGACCACCACTACAGGTTTGGGGCCCAGCCACACAGTAAACACTGAGCCATATTTCTTACTGAGCTGATAACAGATGAGAGGAACCCATTGATTCTTGAAGAATATAACTTATAACTGCTTCATGAACTTAGTACAACTTTCTTATCCCCTCATAACCCCAAATAAGGCTGTTTTATTCCATTGTCTCTAAACGATCAGGGTTGGGTAGATTACTTTCTAAATGTCGCTAGTTACCTGTCCAAAATTATAATCAGTAACGTAATGTCACGTTCGTCGAGGAGTGAAGGAGACCAAGGCGCAGCGAGTGAAAATAACATGTTGACTTTATTACTTAAAGCAACCAAAAACAACAAACCAAAGCGACGAATGTGAAGTCCAATAGTGACAAAGACTAAACAGGAACAAAAACCCACAATGCCCACAGGAAAACATTCAGATAAATATGGCTCCCAATCAGAGATAACGAGCCGACAGCTGACACTCGTTACCTCCGATTGGGAGTCACACGACACCACAATTAACACACCCAAAACACAACCAACCGAATACACCCTTACAACCAACCCCACAACAAATACCCAACAAAACAAATACACCCTGGCTCAAATCCATTAGTCCCGGAGCCAGAGTGTTACAGTACCCCCCCCTAAAGGTGCGCACTCCGGGCGCACCAGCATACAGTCTCGGGGAGGGTCTGGGTGGGCGTCTGTCCACGGTGGCGGTTCTGGCCCTGGTCGTGGTCCCCACCCCACCTTAGTCACCACCCGCTTCCCTAGCCTCCTCCACATGACCACCCTCCAACTTACTCCACCTGGATTTAGGGGCAGCACCGGGCTAAGGGACAGCACCTGGCTAAGGGGCAGCACCGGACTAAGGGGCAGTACCGGACTAAGGGGCAGCACCAGGATAAGGGGCAGCACCGGGCTAAGGGACAGCACCGGACTCAATGGCGGATCCTGGCTGGCTGGCTCTGGCGGATCCTGGCTGGACGGCTCTGGCGGATCCTGGCTGAACGGCTCATGGCTGGCTGAAGGATCTGGCTGCTCATGGCTGGCTGACGGATCTGGCTGCTCATGGCTGGCCGACGGATCTGGCTGCTCATGGCTGGCCGACGGATCTGGCTGCTCATGGCTGGCCGACGGATCTGGCTGCTCATGGCTGGCCGACGGATCTGGCTGCTCATGGCTGGCCGACGGATCTGGCTGCTCATGGCTGGCTGACGAATCTGGCTGCTCATGGCAGGCTGACGGATCTGGCTGATCCTGTCTGGCCGAAGGCTCTGGCTGATCCTGTCTGGCCGAAGGCTCTGGCTGATCCTGTCTGGCGGAAGGCTCTGGCTGATCCGGTCTGGCGGAAGGCTCTGGCTGATCCTGTCTGGCGGAAGGCTCTGGCTGATCCTGTCTGGCGGAAGGCTCTGACTGATCCTGTCTGGCGGAAGGCTCTGGCTGATCCTGTCTGGCGGAAGGCTCTGGCTGATCCTGTCTGGCGGAAGGCTCTGGCTGATCCTGTCTGGCGGAAGGCTTTAGCGGCTCCGGTCTTGCGGACGGCTCTGAAGGCTCATGGCAGACGGGCGGCTTATGCAGTGCTTGGCAGACGGACAGTTCAGACGGCGTTGGGCAGACAGGCAGTTCAGGCGCCGTTGGGCAGACGGGCAGTTCAAGCGCCGTTGGGCAGACGGGCAGTTCAGGCGCCGTTGGGCAGACGGGCAGTTCAGGCGCCGTTGGGCAGACGGGCAGTTCAGGCGCCGTTGGGCAGACGGCAGACTCTGGCCGGGCGACGCGCACCGTAGACTTGGTGCGGGTGGCAGGAACAGGCCGGACCGGGCTGGCGACGCGCACCGTAGAATTGGTGCGGGTGGCAGGAACAGGCCGGACCGGGCTGGCGACGCACACCGTAGACTTGGTGCGGGTGGCAGGAACAGGCCGGACCGGGCTGGCGACGCGCACCGTAGACTTGGTGCGGGTGGCAGGAACAGGCCGGACCGGGCTGGCGACGCACACCGTAGACTTGGTGCGGGTGGCAGGAACAGGCCGGACCGGGCTGGCGACGCACACCGTAGACTTGGTGCGGGTGGCAGGAACAGGCCGGACCGGGCTGTGGAGACGGATAGGAGGCCTGGAGCGAACAGCGGACACCACCCGTCCTGGCTGAATGCCTACCCTCACACACTCTGTGTGAGGCATCCGCACAGGACATACAGGGCGGTGTACCCCTGGCCTGGTGGCCTCCTGGATACTCCCCCTTTTCTCCTCCGTCAGCCCCGTCGTCCATGCCGTGTGCCCCCCCCTAAAAATTTTCTGGGGTTGACTCACGACCCTCCGACGATGGCCCTGCTGCCGCCGTTGCTCCTCTCTCGCCAGGGCCTTGATCCTTCCCCAAGGTCCCTTGCCTCCGAGCATGTCCTCCCAGGACCACGATGTGCCCACCTGGGCCATCGCCAGCCTCTCTATCTCCTTGCCCGGTGCCTCCTCCCATGTCCAGTCTCCTTGCTCCTGGACACGCTGCTTGGTCTTTCTTTGGTGGGTTTTTCTGTCACGTTCGTCGAGGAGTGAAGGAGACCAAGGCGCAGCGAGTGAAAAGAACATGTTGACTTTATTACTTAAAGCAACCAAAAACAACAAACCAAAGCGACGAATGTGAAGTCCAATAGTGACAAAGACTAAACAGGAACAAAAACCCACAATGCCCACAGGAAAACATTCAGATAAATATGGCTCCCAATCAGAGATAACGAGCCGACAGCTGACACTCGTTACCTCCGATTGGGAGTCACACGACACCACAATTAACACACCCAAAACACAACCAACCGAATACACCCTTACAACCAACCCCACAACAAATACCCAACAAAACAAATACACCCTGGCTCAAATCCATTAGTCCCGGAGCCAGAGTGTTACACGTAACTTTTGGAATACCCAAACTCAGTAACATAATCTGATTACTTTCAGTTACTTTTGGATTACTTTCCCCTTATGAGGCAATATAAAAAAATCTCTGACTGTCACGCCCTGACTCAGGGGACGCTTATATGTTGAGTCAGGGTGTGTATATTCCTTGTTGTGCTTTTCCTATGTTGTCGATCTAGTATGTTTAGTTCTTTGTTGGCCGGTGTGGTTCCCAATCAGAGGCAGCTGTCGCTCGTTGTCTCTGATTGGGGACAATACTTAAACAGCCTATTGGCACTGTCTAGTTGTGGGATCTTGTTCCGTGTAAGGTTTGTTGTTCTGTACTACCTTGGACTTCACGTTTCGTTTCCTTTGTTGTTTTGTCGTGTTGTTTGTTAAGTTCAATAAACATGTACGCATATCACGCTGCGCCTTGGTCTGACCCGTTCTTCAACGAACGTGACACTGACTTGTGTTCAGACTCACTCAGGTGGAACAAACTTAAACTTTTGCTTTTTCGGGGGGGGGTAATTAACACATCAACTCATTTTTCTAAAGTATCTCTAATCTGATTACAATATTTTGGGTGGTAACAGTAACAGTTTTTTGTAATCACATAACATGTAACTGATGACAGTACATGTAATCAGTTACTCCCCAACCCTGCAAACAATGTATTCTGTAGCTTCAAATTATTAAAACTATCATATTGATCTATGACTGCAGTGCTTGCATCCATAGCTCCATCTTTGACTTTGAGAAAATCAAACAGATTTTGGCTTTTAACTGACCTCCATGAAGGACTTGTCCGGTCGTTTCATATCAATTTGTAACAAGTTACCAAGAAGAGGAATCAGTGAAGGACCCGGTGGCAAATGTCCATAGCTGCTCTGTTTCCCCATGTACTTCCAAAGTAAAATAATAACCACTATGGCCATTATTATGGACAAAATGTTAGTCTGCAATACATGTAGTAAATCCATGTTTAAGTCACTTGAGGACTATGGTGTGTCAGAGCAGTGTGGCAGTTACTCTTAGCTATGTAGGCAGAGTGAGAAAGACCACATGAAAGCTAGTACAAGCTGCTACAGGTAACTATAATTAAAGGAATGTTTGAACAAGAAAGACTTGTCCCAAAAAGTATGTACACCCTCCTGCACTGTATGTAGCCTATTTTAACAGATGACTTGTATAACTGTTTTCTAAATATTTTATGCAGACAAAATCATTGAAGAAAATACCTGCACAATAGATGAGTTCAAATCTAATTTTAGTGGTTGCGTACACATATTTTGCAGATGTTATCGCAGGTGCAGCGAAATGCTTATGTTGGTCGCTCCAACAGTGCAGTAAAACCTAACAATACAAAACAATACACACAGATCCAAAAAATCGGGCCGGACTGGCGACGCGCACCACTGGCTTGGTGCGAGGAGCAGGGAAAGCCCGGCCCGGCCCGGCCCGGCCTGTTCCTGCTCCTCGCACCAAGCCAGTGGTGCGCGTCGCCAGTCCGGCCCGGCCTGTTCCTGCTCCTCGCACCAAGCCAGTGGTGCGCGTCGCCAGTCCGGCCCGGCCTGTTCCTGCTCCTCGCACCAAGCCAGTGGTGCGCGTCGCCAGTCCGGGCCGGCCTGTTCCGGCTCCTCGAACCACACCAGTGGTGCGTTTGTCCAGTCCGGCACGACCCGTGCCTGTTCCACCGGTGCCTGGCCCGGCACCGGTCAGCTGCTCCACTCCGGAGCCAGAGCAGTCCGCTCCACCGGTGCCTGATCCAGTTCCGGTCAGCTGTTCCACTCCGGAGCCAGAGCAGTCCGCTCCACCGGTGCCTGATCCAGCTCCGGTCAGCTGCTCCACTCCGGAGCCAGAGCAGTCCGCTCCACCGGTGCCTGATCCAGCTCCGGTCAGCTGCGCCACTCCGGAGCCAGAGCAGTCCGCTCCACCGGGGTCTAGTCCAGCCTATTGGCACTGTCTAGTTGTGGGATCTTGTTCCGTGTAAGGTTTGTTGTTCTGTACTACCTTGGACTTCACGTTTTGTTTCCGTTGTTGTTTTGTCGTGTTGTTTATTAAGTTCAATAAACATGTACGCACCCGTCCTTCAACGAACGTGACACTGACTTGTGTTCAGACTCGCTCAGGTGGAACAAACTTAAACTTTTGCCTTTTATAAATGCTTAATTGAATATCATTTTTCGTGGGGGGGGGGGGGGGGGGGGGGGTGTATTTTTTTGTTAGTCTGCAATACATGTAGTAAATCCATGTTCAAGTCACTTGAGGACTATGGTGTGTCAGAGCAGTGTGGCAGTTACTCTTAGCTATGTAGGCAGAGTGAGAAAGACCACATGAAAGCTAGTACAAGCTGCTACAGGTAAACTGTGGTTGGAATGTTTGAACAAGAAAGACTTGTCCCAAAAAGTATGTACACCCTCCTGCACTGTATGTAGCCTATTTTAACAGATGACTTGTATAACTGTTTTCTAAACATTTTATGCAGACAAAATCATTGAAGAAAATACCTGCACAATAGATGAGTTCAAATCTAATTTTATTGGTTGCGTACACATATTTTGCAGATGTTATCGCAGGTGCAGCAAAATGCTTGTGTTTCTAGCTCCAACAGTGCAGTAAAACCTAACAATACAAAACAATACACACAGATCCAAAAAATTTAAATAAAGGAATTAAGAAATATCAGAATGAGCAATATCAGACTCCAGAATATAAATATATATGTATATGATGGTGTGTATAGAGATTATGGACAGTATATGAATAGAAAAGGTGTGTACAGTAGTAGTTATATAGGATATAGGAGCCTTGACTAGACTACAGTATTTATATATGAAGCGGGTAAAATAGTATGTAAACATAATTAAAATCACCAGTGTTAAATTACTATATATATATAGGGCAGCAGTCTCGAAGGTGCAGAGTAAAGTACCGGGTGGTATCCGGCTACTTAGAGTGACTAAGTTCAGGGCAGGGTACTGGGCGGGGTTGGCTTAGATTGTTGAAGTGCGCATTGTTTTCATGACATTGTCAGCTAACCAGTCTATTCTCTTGTCAGTTTCACTTACAGTGCTGTGAAAAAGTAATTGGCCCCTTTCTGATTTTCTCTATTTTTGCATATTTTTTATACTGAATGTTATCAGATCTTCACCAAAACCTAATATTAGATAAAGGGAACATGAGTTTACAAATAACAAAATATATACTTATTTTATTTAATTAACAAAGTTATGCAACACCCAATTCCCCTGTGTGAAAAAGTAATTGCCCCCTTACACTCAATAACTGGTTGTGCCACCTTTAGCTGCAATGACTGCAACCAAATGTTTCCTGTAGTTGTTGATCAGTCTCTCACATTGCTGTGGAGGAATTTTGGCCCACTCTTGCATGCAGAACTGCTTTAACTCAGCAACATTTGTGGGTTTTCAAGCATGAAGTGCTCTTTTCAAGTCCTGCCACAACATTTCAATTGGAATTAGGTCTGGACTTTGATTAGGCCATTCCAAAACTAAAGATGTGTTGCTTTGAAACCATTTTCATGTAGACTTGATTATGTGTTTTGGATCATTGTCTTGCTGTGTGACCCAGCTGCGCTTCAGCCAGACCCAACCACAAATAGTCCAGTAACAGCCTCCTGATTATGAAATAACACATATGGAATTATGTAGTAACCAAAAAAGGGTTAAACAAATCAAAATATATTTTATTTTTCAGATTCTTCAAAGTAGCCACCCTTTGCCTTGATGACAGCTTTGCACACTCTTGGCATTTTCTCAACCAGCTTCACCTGGAATGCTTTTCCAACAGTCTTGAAGGAGTTCCCACATATGCTGAGCACTTGTTGGCTGCTTTTCCTTCACTCTGCGGTCCAACTCATCCCAAACCATCTCAATTGGGTTGAGGTCGGGGGATTGTGGAGGCCAGGTCATCTGATGCAACCCTCCATCACTCTCCTTCTTGGTCAAATAGCCCTTACATAGCCTGGAGGTGTGTTGGGTCATTGTTCTGTTGAAAAACAAATGATAGTCCCACTAAGCGCAAACCAGATGGGATGGCGTATCGCTGCAGAATGCTGTGGTAGCCATGCTGGTTAAGTGTGCCTTGAATTCTAAATAAATCACCAACAGTGTCACCAGCAAAGCACCCCCACACCATCACACCTCCTCCTCCATGCTTTACGGTGGGAAATACACATGCGGAGATCATCCGTTCACCCACACAGCGTCTCACAAAGACACGGCGGTTGGAACCAAAAATCTCAAATTTGGACTCCAGACCAAAGGACACATTTCCACTGGTCTAATGTCCATTGCTCGTGTTTCTTAGCCCAAGCAGGTCTCTTTTTCTTATTGGTGTACTTTAGTAGTGGTTTCTTTGCAGCAATTCGAAGGCCTGAAGGCCTGATTCACACAGTCCCCTCTGAACAGTTGATGTTGAGATGTGTTTGTGAGTTGAACTCTGTGAAGCATTTATTTGGGCTGCAATTTCTGAAGCTGGTAACTTTAATGAACTTATCCTCTGCAGCAGAGGTAACTCTGGGTCTTCCATTCCTGTGGCGATCCTCATGAGAGCCAGACTCCGCTGTCCTGGCGTCGTGAGGGAGCTTGTCCCACCATTGGGGTGCCAGAGCAGCGAATAGTTTTGACTGGGCTGAGCGGGAACTGTGCTTCCGTAGAGGTAGGGGGGCTAGCAGGCCAGAGATGGATGAACGTAGTGCCCTCGTTTGGGTGTAGGGTCTGATCAGAGCCTGAAGGTAAGGAGGTGCCGTTCCCCTCACAGCTCCGTAAGAGAGCACCATGGTTTTGTAGTAGATGCAGGCTTCAACTGGATGTCAGTGGAGTGTGCGGAGGAGCGGAGTGACATGAGAAAAGTTGGGAAGGTTGAACACCAGACGGGCTGCAGCGTTCTGGATCAATTGTAGGGGTTTAATGGCACAGGCAGGGAGCCCAGCCAACAGCGAGTTGCAGTAATCCAGACGGGAGATGACAAGTGCCTGGATTAGGACCTGTGCCGCTTTCTGTGTAAGGTAGGGTCGTACTCTGCGAATGTTGTAGATAAAATAAAATATATTTTGATTTGTTTAACACTTTTTTGGTTACTACATGATTCCATACGTGTTATTTCATAGTTTTGATGTGTTCACTGTTATTCTACAATGTAGAAAACAGTACAAATAAAGAAAAATACTTGAATGAGTAGGTGTGTCCAAAATTTTGACTGGTACTGTATATATTCTCAATTCATTCCTTACTTAGATTTGTGTGTATTGGGTATACAGTGGGGAGAACAAGTATTTGATACACTGCCGATTTTGCAGGTTTTCCTACTTACAAAGCATGTAGAGGTCTGTAATTTTGTATCATAGGTACACTTCAACTGTGAGAGACGGAATCTAAAACAAAAATCCAGAAAATCACATTGTATGATTTTCAAGTAATTAATTTGCATTTTATTGCATGACATAAGTATTTGATCACCTACCAACCAGTAAGAATTCCAGCTCTCACAGACCTGTTAGTTTTTCTTTAAGAAGCCCTTCTGTTCTCCACTCATTCCCTGTATTAACTGCACCGGTTTGAACTCGTTACCTGTATAAAAGACACCTGTTCACACACTCAATCAAACAGACTCCAACCTCTCCACAATGGCCAAGACCAGAGAGCTGTGTAAGGACATCAGGGATAAAATTGTAGACCTGCACAAGGGTGGGATGGGCTACAGGACAATAGGCAAGCAGCTTGGTGAGAAGGCAACAACTGTTGGTGCAATTATTAGAAAATGGAAGAAGTTCAAGATGACGGTCAATCACTCTCGGTCTGGGGTTCCATGCAAGATCTCACCTCGTGGGGCATCAATGATCATGAGGAAGGTGAGGGATCAGCCCAGAACTACACGGCAGGACCTGGTCAATGACCTGAAGAGAGCTGGGACCACAGTCTCAAAGAAAACCATTGGTAACACACTACGCCGTCATGGATTATTTGGCCACTTTAGTTTCAAAACATATAGGTGAGGCTACATGAGGAGTGTGACTATGATTTGAAAAAGTCTCCAAAAGGAAAAGCATGCACTGTTTGCCTTAAGCTGGGTATCATTCACAAATGACAATATATCATTCAAGTGATAGGCTAATATTGTCACCCATCACACTATTCTTGATTTAATATTTACATATGCACTAAATGTGTGTGAAATTTGTTTTGATTTAGAATGGACCATTATCATGCACCGTTCTCGAAACAGGGGCAGCAGAAAAAATGTCATCAATGAACTTAAATAGCGAATGGAGGACACATTTCCCGTGGTTCATTTTCATGCCAGCCAGCTAGGCTACAACCCTGTTTTAAAAAGAGAAGCAATGTGCTTAATATTAGGAAGGTTGAGAAATAAATATAGTAGGCCTAGCCTATAGAAAGCTGATGGGATCCTCCTCTTTTTAGTAGAGGCCATCACTCTGTTCTCACGCAATTGCATAGCCTATAGAAATGTTGCGCGGCCTCCCGAGTGGCGCAGCAGTCGAAGGCAATGCATCGCAGTGCTTGAGGAGTCACTACAGACCCGGGTTCGATCCCAGACTGTCACAACCGGCCGTGACCGGGAGGCCCATAGGGCGGCGCACAATTGGCCCAGAGTCATTCGGGTTAGGAGAGGGTTTTGCCAGGGGGGCTTTACTTGGCTCATTGCGCTCTAGCGACTCCTTGTGGCGGGCCAGAGGCACCTGCAGGCTGACTTCGGCGGTCAGTTGGACGGTGTTTCCTCCGACACATTGGTGCGGCTGGCTCTTAAGAAGCACGTTTGGCAGGTCATGTCTCAGAGGACTCATGACTCGACCTTCGCCTTTCCCGAGCCTGTTGGGGAGTTGCAGCGATGAGACAAGATCACAATTGGGTAAAAAAAATAAAATAATAGATAGTTGCACAACATGGGCGCTCATGTGTTTGATTAGATTTGATTACATTTACATTGATGTCAGAGTGATTAGAGGGAGAATAGAGTGCGGAGTACCAGGCAGTTAGCAAGTTTGGTAGGCTACTAATGACCATCAGCAGCATCAGAGCTTGGAGAAGCCTATTTACTGTGACTAAATGGTCACATGGTATTTGACTGCCATCATGACTCGTGACTGCCAGTGTGGCGGTAATACGGTCACCGTAACAGACCTATCTGTGGAACAGATATGATAGATCTACACTGATATGTCTACACTGCCAATATGACAGTTATATGTGAGCCAAGTAATCCAAACAGAGCTCGCTTTTAAATGACAGGTCTGGACGCACAAAATATATTGTGGTGATCTGGCTGAAATGTGCATTACTATTTATTAGTTGAAGCAAAAGTGACAACCAAATGTTGTTACAATACATCAATCATGTTGAATACAAAAGCAGAATAACATATTGTGACCCCCAGTCCTAACCGCGCAGCAACCTACAAAACAATACCAATTTCAGTTGCTTACATTTTACCACCAGAAACTTTGTCCTCTCACCATAACATTTGAATAGAGAACTTAATCCTAACTTATTGACCTGCGCTGACATTTTTTCCTATTTTACAAGGGTACAAAGCAGGGGAATGTGATCAACAATATAGAGATATGGTAACCAACATCTCTGAAGGGAATCCTTGAAACCTGACCAAAAACAAGTTTAAAAAAATACATTTGTGGACAGAAATTAATCTTGAAATAACAAGCCATACCTCAGAGATCCTACCAGAGGATAATAGCAAGATATACAACTCACTAACCCCTGTCTATAGTTGTCTACAAGAAAAAAAGGTGGTCAATTTAAGGCTATGGTTACTGTACAATGACAAGCAGCTGCCTGTGAAGCTCAGCCTGTGGCTGCTCCACAGTAGAGTGGTCACTCCTCAGCCCTGAGTTTGATGTAGCAATCATAGGAAGGCGGCATGCGGCCAAAGCTGGAGCACGCTGGTTCGATGTTGATCTCCTCTGGAGGTTTGGTGCCGGTGAAAGTGAAGCGCTGCAGGAGGGAGGTAAAGAAGAGAAAGAGCTCCACTCTGGCCAGAGCCTCTCCCAGACACACCCGCTTCCCTGAGGAACAAGAGAAAGGAGAGGTCATTGTCAGTCAGCTGAGCCTATAACTGAATTGAACTGTTTTTTTTTTTGTTTTTTTTTATGAGTGGGGGAGTCCTAGGCTGGTGGATCAGGCTGGTTCCACCAGGCTAGGGCAGCCCCAATCCTCTCATATCTTTTCATGTTTTTTGTGGATAGGATAGAGAGATACAGGAAAGTTATTAGGAGAGTGTGCTGAAAAGCAGTGGGTCAGATTCAAACCCATGCTGGCAGCGGAACAAAGTACATGTGCTCCAGAGAGGCAGTAGCTTTGTTATGATGAGTTTCTCTGGCATCAAGTAATTCAGTATGCAAGAAGATACTTAAACACATTTTTTAGTGGACTACGAGATAAAACTGAGTTAATCATGAACATATAGTTAACATTCTCTGTGGCTAGGCAAGAACTTAATCCTGTGGCCTTTTGTCTCTCTCCTCAAACAAAGTGATAAAGAGCGGCACCAGGGTTGAACAGAGTTTAAACTAAACATTAGTGTTTTTGCAAGATAAGGGATTGATTGAGGGTATTACTATTGATTCTGAACTGAATGAAAGTCGAATTTAGCCGCCACCATAGACAAAGGGAGTGGGGGAAGCAATAAAAGAGCGGGAAATTGAAGAGGGAGGGATTTTAAAGCTAGGGTGTGTGGAGGGCACTATATAAGATGGAGAGGGAGAGACCAGCTTCCTTTTATTGAAATTCAATAAAGTAAGTCTTGATTCAACAAAAACTCTGTATGTACTTTGATTGTTAATAAAGTATAGCGTTGAATTTCCACAACACACTTACATGGAGAGTTGATTCAAAGTATTTAATATTGCGGTACCGGGTTCACATAGCAATGGGCCACCCACGTGCCGTTTTCTATCTGAACTCCTGAACAAAGGAAATCTCTTAGCTTATATACCTGTTTGCAAGCTAATTCTATCCAACAGTTGCCAACCATTATTGAGTGTCACTCCTCACCACAATCGCATCACCCTATATGGTATCGTCTTGCACCCTAGTCAGGATATTCCATCACGTACTCCTTCTAAGATTAGCACCAGTGGCCCCCCAGCTATCTTGGCACGCATACCTTCTGGCACCCACCATTGACAGAAATAAATACATGGAATGTCCTCATCCTCCAAATCCTTATGCAGCTCACAATATCAAACATTAACTAATCCTGTATAGAAGACGTAATATCAGGCTTAGACCGCTAGAACTCACAATCCACAAATTACTTGGAGCATGATCTTACCTACTCCAAAAGCGAAGAATCCATCATTTTTCTTGAAGCATCCATTTTCATCCAGGAAGTTCTCTGGGTCAAACTCATCTGGGTTCTTAAACAGTTTGGGATCAGCAAGCACAGAGGACAGCAGAGGCAGGACCATGGTACCCTGAAAAAATGACAAAATAACACCATTCACTTGCTATGGAAACTGCATGTTGATTAGTAAAATGTAAATCATCTTTTTTGAACAACAGTTCCACCACGTCAAACAAGATATGGTGAAATGTAACATTCAGTGTTGCTACAGTTACATGAATTGTGGTCACCTCTGGAATGTGGTAGTTATAGAACTCTGTATCTCTGATCACTTTGTGGGGGACAGAGGTGGGACTGAGGTCCATGTATCTCTGGACTTCGTGAATGACAGCGTCCGTGTAGGGCATTTTAACTCTGTCGTCAACCGTGGGCACTCTTGAGCCAATCACCTCGTCTATCTCCTTCTGAACTCTCTCTTAAGAAGATTTAGGTCACACTTTACATTATGTTGCACTGATACCATGTATGGATTGTTGTTAGAGTTATTACATGTAACTACATTGTAATAACACATTTCAAACAATTTATAGTACAAGATTATTATTTTTGGATTACAGTGTTATCAAATAGGTATAGGAGACTTGGATGCAATCGATAAAGACTTGGGTAGATAGGGTACCTTGAATGTGAGGGTGCTTCATCATCATCAGAAATGAGTGTTTTAGGGTGGATGATGTGGTTTCTGTTCCAGCAGCAAACAGGCTCCATGCAGTCATCACCATGTTCTCATAGTTAAACTCAGTGTTGGGATTATCCTTCTCCTAAGAGAAGAGAATAAATCGCCATCAGTTATACAAGTGAACAGCGACATCTGGTGGCTAGTTGATGCCATCGCCACATTCTTGGAGCATAGCTGATGTTAGCGACCCAGAGATGGGCCGCTAACATCAGCTATGCAAGAATACATAGACATCTGGTGGCTAGTTGATGCCATCGCCACATACTTATTGCCACTAAATACATTGGAAAACCAGAGATGGGTTTCTCATTTGTCTATTCAGTCTTGATAGCCAAACATAAGTGGACATGGATGGTATCTTAATTCCAGCCACATTCCATATTTTCATAATGTGTAAGAGGTTCAACCTCCAATGTGAGGATCATGCCGCGTTTTCTACCTCGAGCATTTTAACCAGGAAGGCCTCGATGAAGTCCTGAGGGTCAGAGGTGTCCAGGGTTTTAAGACGGATTTCTGCTTGCCCTTGTATGTAATCTTTGGCCTTGTTTACGATAGCAAACATCTCATGGTGTTTGCCTGGAAAGCACCAAACGATTCTAGGGAACATGTTGTACATCTGAAAGAAAGGGGAGGGTTTTTTGTTACTGGAAACAATGGATTGGCCAGCCCAAGGCCTTTTTGTGCAATTACTGTGATAGAGCTTCAATTTAGCACAAGTTAGGGTGTTGAGAGCAATTGAAGATTTTATGAAAAGAGATGAACTGAAAAGTTACTGTACCGCTCCTATAGGGCTGCTTAGGACATGAAAGTAGTAATCAACAGCCTTTTGGATGAGTTGAAACATTGGGTCATCATTTTCAAACCTGTGCCCAAAGACTATGGAGCAGATCACATTGCCAACAGAATTGCAAAGCAATTCTTTGGGATTGACAACTGAATCTAGACCAGAGAAGGAAGGCAAGCACAAAAATATACCTTTAAATACATGATTGGTTATCCATATGCAGTATAATATTGTGATAGTGAAACTTTTAGAAATAGCTGTGAGAAGCAACAACTACCTTTGAATTAAACACTAGATTTTCCATGTCTTTTAAAATAAAACGGCACCTTTTCAATTACATGTTTAGTGTGAAAAGCTTGGTGAAGATAATACTGAGAATAATGTATACAGTTACTTCCTGATCTGTTAAAACATTCACCCCGCCCCAGTTCTCAGTTACACTGATCACAAAACAAAATATTAAATCTCCCTTGGAATTCATCCCTAGGGTCCTGGAGGGAGTGGCAGGTCTTGGCAATGTGCTCTGTCTGGTTTTGTTCTGGGGAGGTTTTACCAGTGGCGGACTTACCATTATGCAGAAGAGATAATTGCCTCAGGGCTCACATCATCAAGGGGCCTCACTAGTGAGCTGTGCATAATTACATTTTTAGTCATTTAGCAGACGCTCTTATCCAGAGCGACTTACAGTTAGTGAGTGCAAACATTTTCATACTGAACATAATAAATTATGAATTGTTACTCGGCTGTATGGATACATTTTGGAAGCATTGTTTTGTCAACAATGTGGCCTCATTAACTTGGGCACAGCGGCCAGGCAAACCCACCCCCCATGCTCCGCTCGAGGCCCCCCCCACCCAACCCCGCTGTTGTGGGCTGCTCAACTCGTTGCTCTCATTCTGTCTTGCATCAGCAGGTTGGTTCAGAAGTAGCAAAATCTGCAGGAAGCTTTAAAGTTGCAAGGGAAATGGGGAGGGGGGGGGGGTTTGCCTGGCCGCTGTGCCCAAGTTAATGAGGCCACATTGTTGACAAAAAAATGCTTCCAAAATGAACCCATACAGCAGAGTAACAATTCATAATAGACCAATAACTTATTTCCATACATATATTTCATATCAATATAAATACAACTTTCTCATAATAGTAGAAACAAGTGTCATTAATCACCCATGGACTGGTTCATAATAATGGACTATTCCACCCTGACAGAGTTCCTGTGCATTGTTTCATGCGATATAATTGCAAACTTAACTTTCATTTAAATTAAGCTGCAGCAATGGAGGCACTTTTAAAGCAGGGCAGAGAAAACACAAATATTTAATTTTAACAAATTCTTACCTAAATTACCTACACTCAATTAGTATTTGGTAGCATTGACTTTAAATTGTTTAACTTGAGTCAAATGTTTCAGGTAGCCTTCCACAAGCTTCCCACAATAAGTTGGTCAGGTTTGTAGGCCTCATTGCTCACACACGATTTTTCAGTTCTGCCCACACATTTTCTATAGGCTTGAGGTCAGGGCTTTGTGATGCCCCCCCCCCCCAAAAAAATAAAAATAATAAAATAAAATTTGTAAAGTGGTTATCCCACTGGCTATAAGGTGAATGCACCTATTTGTAAGTCGCTCTGGATAAGAGCGTCTGCTAAATGACGTAAATGTAAATGTAACATTTTCCATTTGGAAGACCCATTTGCGACCAAGCTTTAACTTCCTGACTGATGTCTTGAGATGTTGCTTCAATATATCCACATAATTGTCCTTCCTCATGATGCCATCTATTTTGTGAAGTGCACCAGTCCCTCCTGCAGCAAAGCACCCCCACAGCATGATGCTGCCACCCCTGTGCTTCACGGTTGGGATGGTGTTCTCCGGCTTGCAAGCAACCCCCTTTTTCCTCCAAACATAACGATGGTCATTATGGCCAAACAGTTCTATTTTTTGTTTCATCAGACCAGAGGACATTCCTCCAAAAAGTACGATCTTTGTCCCCATGTGCAGTTGCAAACCGTAGTCTGGCTTTTTAACGGCGGTTTTGGAGTAGTGGCTTCTTCCTTGCTGAGCGGCCTTTAAAGTTATGTCAATGTAGGACTTGTTTTATTGTGGATATAGATACTTTTGTACTTGTTTCCTCCAGCATCTTCACAAGGTCCTTTGCTGTTGTTCTGGGATTGATTTGCACTTTTCGCACCAAAGTACGTTCATCTCTAGGAGACTCCTTCCTGAGCGGTATGACGGCTGCGTGGTACCATGGTGTTTATACTTGCGTACTATTGTTTGTACAGATGAACGTGGTACTTTCTGGCGTTTGGAAATTGCTCCCAAGGATGAACCAGACTTGTGGAGGTCTACAATTTCTTTTCTGAGGTCTTGGCTGATTTCTTTTGATTTTCCCATGATGTCAAGCAAAGAGGCACTGAGTTTGAAGGTAGGCCTTGAAATACATCCACAGCTACACCTCAAATTGACTCAAATGATGTCAATTAGCCTATCAGAAGCTTCTAAAGCCATGACATACTTTTCTGGAATTTTCCAACCTGTTTAAAGGCACAGTCAACTTAGTGTATGTAAACTTCTGACCCACTGGAATTGTGATACAGTGAATTATAAGTGAAATATTCTGTCTGTAAACAATTGTTGGAAAAATGACTTGTGTCATGCACAAAGTAGATGTCCTAACCGACTTGCCAAAACTATAGTTTGTTAACAAGAAATTTGTGGAGTGGTTGAAAAACTAGTTTTAATGACCTAAGTGTATGTAAACTTCTGACTTCAACTGTATGTGTAGCCCATGTATCTGATGCTGTCTGGACAAAAAGAGTATGGCATGTCATAATAATCTAACCGAAACGACCTCAAACAGCACTAACCGCTCAGCACTAAAAGGTAATGTTTACATTTAAATTACATGTCTTTACTATAATAAAAAGATGACCATCCTACCCATGCTAGACTACCGAGATGTCATTTATAGATTGGCAGGTAAGGGTTCTCTCGAGCGGCTAGATGTTCTCTACCATTCGGCCATCAGATTTGCCACCAATGCTCCTTATAGGACACATCACTGCACTCTATACTCCTCTGTAAACTGGTCATCTCTGTATATCCGTCGCAAGACCCACTGGTTGATGCTTATTTATAAAACCCTCTTAGGTCTCACTCCCCCCTATCTGAGATACCTACTGCAGCCCTCATCCTCCACATACAACACCCTTTCTGCCAGTCACATTCTGTTAAAGGTCCCCAAAGCACACACATCCCTGGGTCGCTCCTCTTTTCAGTTCACTGCAGCTAGCAACTGGAACGAGCTGCAAAAAACACTCAAACTGGACAGTTTAATCTCCATCTTCATTCAAAGACTCAATCATGGACACTCTTACTGACAGTTGTGGCTGCTTCACGTGATGCATTGTTGCCTCTACCTTCTTGCCCTTGTGCTGTTGTCTGTGCCCAATAATGTTTGTACCATGATTTGTGTTGCTACCATGTTGTGCTGCTGCCTTGTTGTGTTGCTACCATGTTGTCAAGTTTTGTTGCTATGTTGTCGTCTTAGGTCTCACTTTATGTAGTGTTGTTGTGTTTCTCGTCGTGATGTGTGTTTTGTCCTATATTTTTAATCCCAGCCCCCGTCCCCGCAGGAGGCCTTTTGCCTTTTGGTAGGTTGTCATTGGAAATAAGAATTTGTTCTTAACTGACTTGCCTAGTTAAATAAACAACAAAATACCCAGTACACCCCTGGGTTTTACTATTACTATATTCTGCAATAAACCATTTATCTTCAGTTTCTCACATTCCAACAACCTGGGTAATATTGCCCATAAAGTTATTATAAAATATATTTCAAATGCTATAAAAATACTAAGAAAAACAACCTACCTCCATATTCACTTAAGGCTTTCACCAACATCTTAGCCTCTTCTTGGACCCGTTCTTCGATGCTCCTGTGCCCCATCCCAAAGTTTTTCAGGGTCATCAGGGAGAACCTGCGAAGATCTTTAGATCTCTTCCCACTGCTCACCAACACCCCTACAGAAAAGAGTTGGACAGAAGCACAAAGATGTAGAATTAGAAGAGCATAACAAAACCTATTGTGACAACAGTTACCTGCTAAGTTGTCAATTTCCACACAGACTGACTGTGGCAAGGTCAATGACACCCACCCACTCCCATTTAAAAACCACCCACCATATCCATTAGAGATTGCCATGATCACGGGGTAGTTGGCTCTGCCACTGAACTCTTCTCCTTGGTTGACAAACGCATCCTTGATAGCCTGATAGCCAGAGACCACCACTACAGGTTTGGAGCCCAGCCATACAGTAAACACTGAGCCATACTTCTTACTGAGCTGAGGAGAGAAGAAGAATAGAGTTATAGTTAGGGGATAAGCATAGTGATGTTTCAGATCCCAGGTTTATATGGAGCACTGCTGACAGTCCTGGGATGTATGACATGGAAGTGAAATTATTGTGGCCTTGCTATTCCTTTGGATAAGTGGTGGAGAGACCCAAGAGAGCCAAGGATGCAGTGGAAATTTGATAGAGTACATTATACTCCCTTAGATATCGAAAATGTGTACAAATACGTTTGTAATACATGTTATTTTATGTTCCCAAATATATTCTACAGAAGCACCTTTTCCATAGTAATATAATCAACCAGGACATGTCTGTCTACTCTGTTTGGCATTGGAAGCCTCAGAGATAGCAATAATTTGCTTAGAAGGGCAAAGTCTGTAAAGGATGGTTAACTAGTAAATAATTAACAAGTATATGGCAACCAAAAATCTGTTCAACCAAAAGTTAACCTACATTATCATGACCTCACATTACACAAAAAGTCAAACTTTTGCAAGATGTGAATTGTACTTCATTTTCCTCACTGCATTTCACAGTAATAGTAGTAGTAGTAGTAGTAGTAGTAGTAGTAGTAGTAAATGCACAAAGGCTATGTGTTTGAGCACGCTGTGTGACAACTAAGACGAGAAAACCAAGACACCAGAAACTTCGACAGCACAAACAAGCAGATATCCTTGCTACTGAGGTGATAGAGATATCGTTTTTCAGTTCTCATATGCATGCATGTAGTATACTTTGGATGACTACTGAGTGAGCAATTAAATAACTTACAGTATGCTAGTAACTGTATAAAACGCAGTCACATGAGAATAATGAACCGCGTTGTTGCTCCAATAACCAACACAGAAAATAATAATGTAAAACAATAATAATCTAGCCTACATTTAGCTTGTATAAATGCAAATATTTAATATTTTTGCCAAGTTCTGTGGAAAAGTAATTATATTCCATTCTACACCCTGATTCTGCATATTTTCTAAATAACTTTACAGTGATCTACCGCAAGGATTTGACTGACCTCCATGTAGAGCTTGTAAGGCGCCTTCACATCCATTTGTAACAAGTTACCGAGCAGAGGAATCGGTGCAGGACCGGGCGGCAAACGTGAGCTGCTTTGTTTGCCTCGATTCATCCACAGTAAAATAATAACGACTAAGCCCATTACAATAGACACAAAGTTCGTCTGCAAAATATGAAGTAAATCCATCTTCAGTAGCGTCGAGGACAATGATCACCTAGCCAGTAAACAGAAACTCTTATTCGATGAGGTTTAACAGCTGTTGGCATCCAATGTGTTACATTACCGCCACCTACTTGACAGGTTTACAACTCCCTTATATTTTGCTTGAAAAATAAAATAAAGAAATACCCTACCATCTAACACTACACTCATAAATTCAAAAATATTATTAATAATTAACACCACCCTACTCCGCTATTTAAATATATTCATTCCTACCTCATGCCCTCAACCTGAAATGATGGGACATCACCACTTAACACTCACTGTAACTCTTCTGATGTCAAGTCTCAAGCACACCCAAATACCTCTCTGCAGCTGCCACCACAACCTCAATTTTCTTCGACTTACGTTCCATCCCTGCAGTACAATTAATAACCATTGCTATAAATGCTAAAAATCCAATCTTACTGAAACATATATCACTTGTTGTCCTATCCCTCTGTATTGGTACATATCTACTACTCTCACCACTCCTCCCCCTTGACCCATCTTCCTCTACTTTCTTCACTGCCTCAGCATATGACAACTTCTTCACTACTCTTACCCTGGAAACCTCAACCTGCCTCTCTAGCACGGAACATTTCTGTTTGCACAATTGTGAGTGTCCTCAAAGATGATCCATTATATTGACAAGATAGCCGAGTGACCGCTCAAACATTGAGTTCTATTAAGATGGGCCGTTTGAACCGGGCAATGGCCTGTCACGACATCTTTACTTTTACTCAAGTATGACAATTGAGTACTTTTTCCACCACGTGCTTAACTACATCACATTTGTTTTGAACCGACTTCTTGTCGGCCAGAGCGGGGTACCTGGCTCAAGCCCGGGAGGCAGCCCGGTTACAAAACGAATGCAATCACTTTTCACCCGGTATAAACTCCCCCCACCTGGGTAACGCGGGCCAGATAAACGAACCCCCTCAATGGAAATACATGTCCTCAATGACTAAAGGCAGATTAAAGGCAGAAGAGAACCGCTAAATTACTGAAATGTAAATGTAGATCAGGTGGGGCCATTATAGCCAAATGAGAGGGCAGATACGCGTGTGAACAACAGGCACAACTATTTCAATACATTTGTAACAGCCTAAACTTCTAGACATTGTTTTTTAGTACCATATTATTTCACTGGATAGTCATTTAATTGCTCTGTCCTTCTTCGATTAGGTTTTACAAAACGTTAGGAACACTGCTCTTTCCATTACATAGACTGACCAGGTGAACGCTATGGTCCCTTATTGAGGTCACCTGTTCAATCCACTTCAATCAGTGTAGATGAAGGGGAGGAGACAGGTTAAATAACGATTTTTAAACCTTGAGACAATTGAGACATGGATTGTGTATGTGTGCCATTCAGAGTGTGAATGGGCAAGACACAATGTTTAAGTGCCTTTGAACAGGGTAGGTACCAGGCGCACCAGTTTGAGTGTGTCAAGAACTGCAATGCTGTTTGGTTTTTCACGCTCAACAGTTTCTCGTGTATATGAAGAGTGGACCACCACCCAAAGGACATCCAACTTAACACAACTGTGGGAAGCATTGAAGTCAACATGGGCCAGCATCCCTGTGGAATGCTTTCGACACCTTGTAGAGTCCATGCCCAGACAAAATGAGGCTGTTCTGAGGGCAAAAGGGGGTGCAACTCAATAGTAGGAAGGCATTCCTAATGTTTTGTACACTCAGTGTATGTTGCATTACCGACACCAACTAGCCTGGGGTATAAACGTTGAGCCACAAAATGGGAACGAAAGGGAAAGGGAAAAAACTAAAAATATCTCTGCCATCTAACCCTACACTCATTCAAACCCACCCCCCTATTCCACTACTAATTAATCCTATCTGGTCCTACACGAGCCCAACGACCTGGAAGGACGGGACCCCACCACTCAACACACCCTGCAATTCCTATGTAGTAAAATCTCGTACCTCCAAATACTTCACTGCAGCTGCCACCGCAACCTCTTTTCTGTGACTTACGTTCCGTCGCTGCAGTACAGTTAACCATTGCTATGAACGCTAAAAAGCCAAGCTTACTGAAGCATAAATCACTCGTTGACCTATCCCTCTGTGCTGCCACAGATCCACTACTCATACGGATCCTCTCCGGATCACTCCCCATTGACCCCTGATCCTCTACTTTCTTCACTGCCTCAGCATATGACACCCCCTGCACTACTCTAACCCTGGTAACCTCAACCTGCCTCCGTTGCACCTAACACTTCTGATCCCCAGCACCATGGGCACCTCTACAATTAACACTTACCACTTCTTTTCCGATACTGCACACTCATCTCATGCCCTTCTGCACACTTCTCACACCTAGGAACCTCCCTCCTACACACTTCTGCCACATGCCCATATGCTTGACACCTGTAACACCGTAATAGGTTCAGCACAAAAGCTCATACAGGATAACTGAAATATTCTAACATCACTTTGTCGGGCAAAGACTCAACATCAAAACGCAAAAGCGCTGACAATGACTCTTGTTTCACCACGCTCGCCACCCTGTCTGTGTCGCACCAAACAACGAGCATCACAAACACTGGGAATCTTCTCCTTCAGCTGGTCCACCTTCACATTTACCGCTACCCCAGTAATCACTCCTTTCAATGGTGTCCGGTTCTTGAGAGCAAAGCAAGTAACAGCTCATGTCCCCATTCGTGAGATGCAGAGCGCCCGCTCCCTCTGACCGGCAGAAACAAACTATTATCATAAGACCACTTTGGGTTACCTTCACCAATTCAACAACACCCAACTCCGATTTCACCCACCCTGAAAACACATATGGATCAGCCAAAAGGCAGGGGACCACTTTCTCCAAAAATGTCCCTCCTACCGGACCCGACTCATCTTTCTCTTAACCATGTCCCTCGATGCAAGGCTCGGGTTCCAAGCTCCTCACCACACCTTCCACCTCACTTAAATCTCCCTCATTCATCTACATTTCAACTCCAGAACTCGGTCTGGTGCACAACTCACTCTGATTACTCTTGCCCCCAGTGTTCTTCAACACACCACCTCCCCTTCTAGGGCTAAGATGGCGCCATATTGGATGGTGGCTGTTTTGCAGCTCCGACCCAACTTTACCATTTTGTGATGATTTTGTTGTTTTCATGACATCTATCCACTATCATTTCGGCACAACCCACAATAACTTTTGAACATCAGATTGGCAGTTACCTCAATTCCGGCTTCAACTTTGACTCATGGGCTCTTTCTGTAATTACGACCCAATTTTTGGGCTACCCAAGAGGAAACGCCAACGTTAGAGGCAAGAGGGGGGATCCTGGTGAGATTAAGGCGAAGGGAAAACCGGCCACCTCTTCCCTACATTCTAATGGCTAACGTACAGTCACTTGATAATAAGATGGATGACCCATGTATCTCACACCATCCCTCTTCCATTAATTTCACTCACCGTGTTCGTTAAGGAGTTTCAGGGTAATGGCAGGGCTGGCTCTTCCATTGAACTCTTCTACTTGGTCTACCAGAGCATCCTTGGTGGCTGATAGCCAGAGACAACCACTACATGTTTGGGGCCCAGCCACACAGTAAACACTGAGCCATATTTCTTACTGTGCTGATGACAGATGAGAGGAACCCATTGATTCTTGAAGAATATAACTTATAACTGCTTCATGAACTTAGTACAACTTTCTTATCCCCTCATAACCCCAAATAAGGCTGTTTCATTCCATTGTCTCTAAACGATCATGGTTGGGTAGATTACTTTCTAAATGTTGCTAGTTATTTGTCCAAAATTATAATCAGTAACGTAACTTTTGGAATACCCAAACTCAGTAACATAATCTGATTACTTTCAGTTACTTTTGGATTACTTTCCCCTTAAGAGGCAATAGAAAAATACAAAAATGATCTATCAAATGCATTTGGGGTGTCATCATAGTGGTCACTGACTTGAGTTCAGACTTGCTCAGGTGGAACAAACTTAAACTTGCGCCTTTTTTAAATGCTGAATTTAATGTCATTGACAAAATAAAATAAATATATATATTCTCGCAAACAGGTGGTGAAGGTAGGAAACAACACCTCCACTTCGCTGATCCTCAACACTGGGGCCCCACAAGGGTGCGTGCTCAGCCCCCTCCTGTACTCCCTGTTCACCCATGACTGTGTGGCCAAGCACGCCTCCAACTCAATCATCAAGTTTGCAGACGACACAACAGTAGTAGGCTTGATTACCAACAATGACGAGACAGCCAACAGGGAGGAGGTGAGGGCTCTGGGAGTTTGGTGCCAGGAAAATAGCCTCTCACTGAACGTCAACAAAACAAGAGAGATGATCGTGGACTTCAGGAAACAGCAGAGGGAGCACCCCCCTATCCACATCGACGGGACCGCAGTGGAGAAGGTGGAAAGCTTCAAGTTCCTCGGCGTACACATCACTGACAAACTGACAGTGGTGGAAAAAGTACCCAATTGTCATACTTGAGTAAAAGTATAGATACATTAATAGAAAGTTACTCAAGTAAAAGTAAAAGTCACCCAGTAAAATACTACTTGAGTAAAAGTCTAAAAGTATTTGGTTCTAAATATACTAAAGTATCAAAAGTAAATATAATTGCTAAAATATACTTAAATATCAAAAGTAAAATAAAAGTATAAATCATTTCAAATTCTTTCTAATAAGCAAAGCAGGTGGCACCATTTTCTTGTTTTTAAAATGTATGGATAGCCAGGGGCACACTCCAACACTCAGAAATAATTTACAAAAGATGCATTTGGGTTTAGTGAGTCCGCCAGATCAGAGGCAGAAGGGATGACCATGTGTTGTCTTGATAAGTGTGTGAATTGGACCATTTTCTGTCCTGCTAAGCATTCAAAATGTAACGAGTACGCATTAACGCATTAACTCTAAAGTGTATGGAGTAAAATGTTCATTATTTTCTTTAGGAATGTAGTGAAGTAAAAGTAAAAGTAGTCAAATATATAAATAGTAAAGTAAAGTACAGATACCCCAAAAAACTACTACATTAGTACTTTAAAGTATTTTTACTTAAGTACTTTAAACCACTGCAAACTGAAATGGTCCACCCACACAGACAGTGTGGT